TCTGGATGTTTGTATCTGAAGTAAGGTAATATAACCTAATTATTGATTCACCTTGCATTTACTTCATCACTTGTGAGGTTTAACATCCTCTGAATGTCCTTAACCATTTTTTTCTCTCTTCTATGAAATGTCTGTTCATATCCTCTGCCAAGTCTGGAAATAGGTTTTTCTTTTTTCTCAGTTGACTGAAAAGAGCTCTTTTTCTCTTCTGTGCACCTCTGCAGATTATAAGGGCTGCAAATATATTCTCCAAATCTGTGGCTTGCTGTGGTAGGCTGAGTAATTAATGTCCTTTCACCTCTACCTCCATCCCCCAAAATGTCCACATCCTCATTCCTAAAACCTGTGAATATGTTACCCAACATGGTTAAAGGCCTTTGAAGATGTGATTAAGAATGAAGAATCTTGAGCCTTACCCAGGCAGGCCTAATACAATCACAAGGTCCCTATCAGAGGGAAGCAGGAGGGTCAGAGATAGAAGACCGAAATTAGAGTGATGTAATTTGAAGATGGAAGAGGGCCATGAGCCAAGGAATGCTGGGGACCTTGAGAAGTCAGAAAAGGTCAGGAAACAGACTGTCCCCTAGCATCTTCCAGAAGTCCTGCCAACACCTTAATTTTACCGCAGTAAAACCCTTTACAGACTTACAACTTCTAGAACTGCAAGACAGTTGCTGTTGTTAAACCACTAAGTTTGTGCTAGTTTGTTACAGCAGCAATAGGAAACTAATACACTTGCCATTTACTGACTTGTACTCTGTGATTAAGTTCATCCTACTACAATATCATTAAGGTATGTTCCTATGTTTTCCTCTAAGTTTTAGTTTGTTTTTCACATTTAGGTTGCCATTAATCTGTCTGGAACTTATTTTTGTGTTTGGAGTAAAGCGAAGTTCTATCTATCTTTTTCCATGCAAAGGGCCAATTGTCCCAACACCATTTATTTAATAGTGAATAACAGCCCCACTGTGATGCTGTTTCTGTCACTTTACACATTTCATTATTGATGTCGGTCAGTTTCGTCTATGCTGCCCTACTCCACCGCTCTGTGTGTCTCTCCTTGTATCTGTACCTGGTATCTTAGTCATTATGCTGTATGATGACATACACATGTGGTCTTGCCTGTTGTTCTTAATATCTTGACTATTTTGGACGCCTATTTTTTCAAATTAATTTCAGGATAAGCTTGTCATATTTTACTGCCCTCTAAAAAAAGATGAAAGTTCCTGTAAGCATTTTGATTGAAACTGTATTAATTTGGGGAAGACCACAATTCTACAATATTGAGTCTGCTTATCTACAAAAATTTCTGTCTTTGATGTCCTTCAATAAAGTTTTTCTAATTTTCTCCATATAGAACTTACTTGCCTTGTATTACATTTATTCCTAAGTACCCTATGGTTGAATTGCTATTTATCTTGTATTCTACGACTTCAAAAAAATCCATGTTAACCCTAGTAAGTTATCTGTAGTAGATACTGTTGACAATTTTGTTTCCTCCTTTCTACTTTTATAGTTTTAATCATATTACAGTGGCTAGGACTCCAGAATAATGTTGAACAGAAGTGGTGATAGTACAGCTCTTTGTCATCTGCCCGACTTCAAAGGGTAAGCTTCAAATGTCTCCTTAGGAATTTGATGTTTACTGTGGGTTTCTGTTGGCCTTCACTTTCAAAATGTACGGAATAGTTAATAGCATTAAATATATGTGGATTCAGCTGAAAATTTAATAGTAACCAAACTCCTCTGTACATTATAAACTCATTGCTTCCTTTCATTCTGTGGCTAGATTGATAGTCGTCTTCTATTTATAGCTGTGCGCCTCATTCCATACTCCTACACAGAATGAACGGCCAATTCTTACTCGACTTCTTAAGATCATTTATGTCATCACTGTCATAATTTCATTTGAAGTTTTTCTACAGCCTCTTGTTACGATGTTTCTTTTGCTGTGCCTGGTTATAGCGGCCAGGATTGGATTATTACTTCAAAGGAGGCCAATTTCCATGCCAAGGCACCATGGAGACACGATAGAAGCAATGCGACTGCTGCTCCCATGGAAACATGGTAAAGGCAGGTTACCCCAGACGCTCCAAGGCCAATGCTGAAACATTTCATTTAGGTATCCCACCCACTCCCACTCCTAACCCACTGTTTTGGGGACTGTTATCACAGTATAACCTTACTGAAAGCTAATACACCATCTTACTCCCACAGAGCATGTGAGTCCTAAGGCTGGATACATTCTTTTTCATTTCCAATTAGAAATATTCTCAAAATACTTATTTGCAACAAAACAGGAGGCTGTCATAAATTGGAAATACTTGTTTGAACAGTTTATTTACATATGAATTAACTGAGTCCAAAAACTTGCTTTGCCCAAGGTCACATTAGTGAGAAGCAAAATTATAAACTATGCTCCCAGCTTTTTCCACTGTAAAATGACTGCAAATTATGCACTCATGGAGTTCTGGAATGTAACGTATGTCTGCACTAATACAAGTCAGCCTGGAGCACAGTGTCATTGTAAAACATACTGATCTTATAAAAAGATAAAATTTGACTCCTCAATAGTATACCATGGTGACCCTTTAGCGTGAGCTGACAGCATGTCTGGGAATGCTGGCTATATGTAGGCACCACCCTCAGTTTTAACTTTAAGGTCAACTCAACTGGACAGAAATATTTCCTAGAATGAATCCAGAATCACACGGGACTGTGGCATAGGGAGTGGTCTTAACAAATACATATAAAAAGGCATATCAATCCCTAGGTGAGAACACAGGAAGAGAAGGGATGTGGAAGGACTCAGAGGAGCAGGCTCAGTAGAGCGTGTTCAGCATTTTCCAGGGAAAGAAGGCACAGAATCTGGAGAAAGCAAGCAACTGGACCCTGGGGAGTGGGGGGAGTCTCTTCGGTGGAGAATGTTACCCCAGGTAAGCTAATCTCAAGACATCTACCTCACTTCACCCAAATCTATGCTCAACAAATAACCTTCTGATGACTAATTCAGTTTCCCATGTTCTTCCAGCGAAGACAGAAAAATGCCCAGGACGGAATTCTCATGCATTCTCATCACCAGAATCCACGCAGAACAAATGACCGAGCTGACCTTCTGGTTTACACATTAGTCTCCTAGGTCTGGTCGGCTGGGGGCTTCAGGGCCACTCATGTGAGCGTGGCTGACTTGGTCAAGGAAATGCTCCCTGCCGAGGCCCCCGCATAGGTAACCTGCGGGTCTTCGCTGGGACGCCAGACACACCTTATATTCCATCCGTTTCAACACCAGGCCGCCTGCCTAAACATGTCTTCTACAAGACTTTTCAAAGATGTAAAACATACCATGCAAAGGCATTAAGAAAATGAAATGTGTTATCCTTACACAAACTGAATATACTCTTTAATCAGTTCTTGGAGTGAAAAGCCTATAGCTCTCAAATCCTTCCCAAAGGGCACCTTCACCTGCCCTGCCTGGATTCCACTGGGTCAAAACAAACACACAACCTACCTAAAAACATTTCTCTATTTTCACTACTAATTTAAGTCATTCATTTTTGACTTCAAGGATGTAAAAGAATTGTAATTCTCCAAAGAAAAGCAGTAATACTTATTGACTTCAACTCTGCTTCTAAAATTCCCTCCATAGAAATCTAGTTGGTTTAGGTTTAGCTCATTGAATGTGGAGTCCTATAAAATCCTTTCAAGACAATACCTAGACTTACATATTTTGCTTTTAGAGTTAATACCAAATAAGTATGCTGGTTTGACCACTAAAAATTCCAAAGAAAACCACTTTCCAAGTAATTGTGGACCCTTTTGCAATGCCTTTTCAGCCTTATCAATAATTGGAAAGAGTGCTGAGACCATATGTCTTTTTTTCTACCAGTTTAACCCCCACAGGCAGGAAGCATGAGTAGCCACTTAGTCTTTCCAAGCTGATGTCCAAGTTGGTGGCCACTGAGGGAGACCAAGGATTCTATTTCTATTCTTGCTTTGCAGCCAAGATTATTCTTAGCCTGTACCAGGAATACTCTATCCAGGAATGCCTTGTGACATAAGACTACTTTGCCTGGTTTGGGATCAAAGATCCTGAGCATGGATATCACCCCTGAAGTCAGCTCTGGCTGAAAGGACTGAGTGATTCCTACCACCAGGTATGGCTTTGAGCCATCTCATTGTAAATCTCTGCTTTGATCAAATGCTCCTAGGGAATCCCCATAACTAGTCATTTTGAAAATATCCTAGATCCTATTTCCTTTGCACAAATCGTAACTGGTAGCCCAGAACTGCTGTTTCAGAGTAGTGACCCTGTTTTTCTCATGTATAAAATTCTGAGGAAATATGACAGAAAGGAGAAACCACTTCATAAATGTGGCCCTCCAAGGTGACCTAGATAATTCTGCACAGACCAGACAGGAAAACCCGAGTTTCCCTGAAAACAGAGTTTGAAATCAGTATCAGTTACGGGCCATGCCCTGAAGTAGCACTGTAAACCTGAGTAGTAGAAACATTATGTGATTTGTCTAATAAAATGATCGATTATTTTTATTAAGTAGCTATTACAATTACAGCCATGATACTAATAGCTAACACTTATGAAATGCTCACCATGCACTGGACATCTTACAAGCATCTTCTTATTTAATATCCCAGTGGCATTATAAATTTATTATCTTTTACAGATGAGGATACTAAATAACTTTGTCAATGTCACTCAAACTGGCTAAAGTATCAAACTGGGATTTAAACCCAGGTCTGTATGACTCTAGTTCATGAGTTTAGCATTCCTGGTTTTTTTTAAAAAAAAGAGGAAAATATCAATGTTACATGTTACATTCTGGTTCGACTTCATGAGTGAATCTCAAGTTTATAATCCACAATTAAATTATTCAAACTTTTATATTTGCCCACGTATCATTTCTTCCAACGTCACATTCTCATTTATGGTAATTAAACTGGACAAGAAAGTCTTACAATTATGCATTCATCAAAGCACTTACATAGTCAATGGGCTTGAGGGATTTGATTGTCAATGTCGGGCAGCCACAAGAAGGTAGGTCAGCATACAGGCCTTCTTCTAATACACACTGGTTATTAGAAATGTCCTCTTGGTAATACAGGAGCCAGCTAAAAAGAAAAGCCGGGAGACGCTCGGTCAGGCTGCCTGCCTCGGCTGCCAGAGTCGGCTCCTCAGGATGCTGTGGGAACCGGGGTAGGAGCACGGCGTAAAGTCATGGTGCTGACCAGCGCAAGTACTCACCATCGGCCTACAAAACAGGGCTATCGCTATCGTTATTGACTGCTCACCATGTGCCAGACAGAGGCTAAATACTTTACAGGTATTATTTCACTGTGTCCTCAAAAATTCCATGAGATAAAACCGTATTTTTATGGGCAACACAATGAAGGCCTGGAAAGGTTAGGTGATTTGCTCACGGTCTCCCCAACTATGACATGATAGAGCTGAAATTTCAAAGAAGATATCTGTTTTAAGCTAAAGACATTAACTTCATTTGGTGCCCTCGAGTGTAAAACTCTGGGATCAAATTATAGTGATTATTAAGGCCTTGAACATTAGAAGTTTTGAGGGGAAAAAATAAAAGTTTCTGCCCTTACTTGACGATGAACTTGCCTTCAGTCTGGGGGTGTTAGAAGCTAGACTTCTAAAATCACACAATGGTTTATAAAATCTGTCACCTGCACATTTGAAAGCTAATTAAGATTATAAAAAAAAAGAAATAAACCCTTTGGAATCTTTGATATTGAATTATCCTCAATCCAGCAGTCATCGAAAGCTTGGTTAAAACATGCTGTTTTGAGAAGGAGCCCAAGGGATAAATGAACAGACTGTTACTACTTCAGTTCTGGTGTATTTAAGTTCTAGTCCTGTATTTTAAGATGACCAAAACTGTCCTCTGGCTACACCAGGTTTGGAAAACCACAAAAATGCTGTGACACTGTGACTTACTGTCATATCTTCTATGTAATAAGCATTTGATAGCCAACACTCATCAAAGGTTTTCAATGTGTCAGGCATGGAGTTTAGCCCTCCATGTGCATTGTTTACTTAGACCCTGTGAGACCCCTTTGAGGTTGGCACACTACCCCTCCTTTACAGATACGGAGACTGAGGTTCAGACTGATAACCAGTTTGCTTAAGGTTACACAGCGGGGAAGAGATGGAACTGGGCTCAAGTCCAGACCTGTCAAGCATTCCAGATACTGATACAATCACCATGGTTCTTGTCTTCTTTTAATTAACTGGTTTTTGCGTGTTTAAATGGTTTAAAGAAATTAAAAGAAGATATTTCATGACATGTGAATGTTATATACAATTCAAGTTTAATGTCCATAAACAGTTTTGCTGGAACACAGCCATGCCCGTTCATTTACGCAGAGTCTGTGGCTGCTGTTGTGCTGCGGTGCAGTGCGGAGTAGCTGGGGCAGAGCCCGCAGGGCTCACCAGGCTGAAAACATTTACTGCCTGGCCCGTTACAGAGAAAGTGTGCTGACCACTCGTATAGAGGGTAGGGTGGAAGTGCTTCGATGAGTAACTGTTGGCATAGGAGAGGATGGGGCGGTGCACTATAAGGACAGACTGGAGAATGGATAGGGGGAATGAGACAAGCTGGTGGTAAGTCCTGGAAGGGTCTGAACATCTGATGGGTATTAGAGAATGACTACAGGATTTAAAGCAGAGTAATAAAAATATTAAAGTGCATTTTGGGACAAATAAATGGGCAATGACTGGTTTGTGGTAACCAATGGAAGTCATACAATACTGGAGCAGAGTTAATGAGGACACTAAAGTTCCTCAAATGGAAAATAAGAGATCCCAGTCTCTCCTGGTTCAGGAGAGAAAGGAGAATTGATGAATCCAAAGTTTCTTGAAGAACAAAAAAAAGGACCTCAATGAATTATTAGGTAGATATTTGATACATAGACATGCTGCTGAGCTTTACACTTAAAAATAGTTAATATGTTAAATTTTATATTATGTATATTTTACCATAATAAAAAGTCAATACCTAGAGAATACACACACACACACACACACACACATACATATTAGCCTTGAGAATTACACAGTTTCATATACATGTGAGAAAGACCCAGTATGTGGCTTCAATATGAAGAATATAGTATTCAATAAAAATGACCAAAGCCATCATGGGTCCTATGTTTGCTCTGTGATCTTGGGGCAACCCTAACTCTGAGCCAGGGATCCTCATCTGTGAAATGGGGATGATAAATACTTTAAACAAATTAGATTTTTAAAAATTTAGGAATGTCTTACCTGAAAAAAAATGCTAATTTTTATAGCATTCTATTATACTACACAGTAAAAATACAATATAAACATTCAAAATATTTACAAAATAATGTAACAGTAAGAAAAAAATCACCCAAATGCTCTAAAGTGGGCTAATTAGCATTCTGTTTCTATCACACAATGGCTAATAATACTAGTTGGGCAAAGTTAAAACAGGCTAATTATTAGGTAATTAATAAATAAAAAACTAACTTATTTCACTGTGTATGCAAAAAACAATACCAGTGTAATCTCTGTAAATTTGCAAAGAAATTTAGTTGCTAACTGTAGAAAACACTCAATAAGCATACTTACCAACCCCGAAGAACTTTGAAAGAACATGGTGTGAATGAAGTCAAGTCAGAAATTTCTTCTGTAAAATCTATACATTCACCTTGGAATGCTGGTTTACTGAATGCTTTGAGCTAAAAAAACAACACAACAATTAGAGAAAACAACTGTTTGATATCATCACAAAAGTAAAATAAAACCTTTAGTTTCATGTTCTTATAAAAAGTTCAGTGAAATATAAGACTCATGTTTTGTCTATTATCAATTAATGCATATTAAGGTAACATTTTCCTTAAACTCACGTATTTTCCCCTTGTTTTCAGGAATGTCATTATATATTTACCATTTTCATACATCTCTTGCACAAAATACTGGGCACAGAAGCCCCCAAACAATTCTACCTGTAAGAATCACTCCTCCACTAAAATGTGATCCTTGTCCACTGTATCAAACAATTGTAACCCCCTGTGATGAGGCTCCAGGTATAGAATAAGCAATTTAGAGCTGAACACAAAGGAGGTCTGGATCAGTATGAGGGGTGGCTGGTACACTTCTCCCTCCCAGTCTTCCGGATGCACAGTTAATAAAAGGGAAGAGAGAGCGAGCGTGCGCGCGGGCCGGGAAATGCGCAGGAGCAGCCGCAGAAGGTGATCGCGATGGGATAAGTGGGAAGTTTACAGTGAAGAAGGAAGATGCCTGTGTCCTGCATTTCAGCTCACAGGATTCAGTTTACTGATAAGGATACCTTAAATGTACAGCTTGTAGTTATATACAACCACATTTTTATTTTAGTTCTGTCAAGAAAAATCCATGAAATCTCAACTGTAATTCCCTTTAGGCCGGAGATATAATATCCGCAATTCTAGTGACCTTGGACCTACACTAGGTGAGAAAAAATTAATGGGCCCTATAAATATTTCATAATATATCAGAGCCTTGAAATAACGTGGGCCGCAGGTCCACCCTACACTGACAGGTCTGCACTGTCGCTAAGAATGCACCTTAATGACCCGTTTGCAGCAGGAGTACGAGCTCTCTTTTGAGCGGCGGATGGTCGCTGTAGAGGCCAATGGTTTGAGTTATGAGGAATTCTTTCTTGGCTGTATCATTCTACTTTGATGTTGCTTAGTCTGATATCAGAGATTAGCCAAAACCAGTGAGGTCAGAGAACAAATCCCCTGTGACCACCTGTGGCCTGCACAGGACTTCCTATTGCGAAAAAAGGCTGTTTTGTTTTGTTTTTTAATTTTATTTTTTACTGTATTTTTTCCATTACCATTTAGTCCCCTTGCACCCCCCTCCCCACCACAATCACCACACTGTTGTCCATGAGGCCTTTTTCCTTTTTGCTCCATCCCTTCACCCCTAACCACCCGCCTCAGAGCTGTCAGCCTGCTGTCTGTGAGTCTGTCTCTATTTTGCTTGTTAGTTCAGTTTGTTCACTGGATTCCACATATGAGTGAAATCATACGGTATTTGTTTTTATTCTAATTCTGGCTTCCGCCCTTCCAGCAGCTGGACAAAAAGTCCTTCATGTAAGGAGAATCTGGAAAGTACCTTGCACTGTCTCTCACATCATAGTTAAAGAAAATCTTAGCTGCTTGGAAGCACAGATTTTTTTTTTTTTTTTTTAATCCAAGTCTGGAACCAGGCTGTATTTGGAGCATTAAAACACCAAGAGACTCCCTGCTGTAAGGAAGGGTGACCCAGCAAGTGTCTACCACGATCTTTTCGGTGCAGCAGGCAGCAACAAAAAGGACGTCCACAATGCGGCAGATTTCTGGAACAATTTCCTGTATCAGAACAATTCTACGTGTCCAGGGAAATTGCCCCTAAATTCCTTGATAAGAGCATGTATTTTGGTTAGTAGTTTTTTTAGTCTTTTTTTTTTTTACCTTAAAGGTTTATAAAGCATGTGTCCAAATACACATTTTACTTCCAAAAATGTTTCCTACATGCAGTTTTAATTCACAGTAAGAACCAGAAAAGCCACATGAGAAGAGAGACCATGACTACTTCATTCACTACTTGTATTCCCAGTTTAATTCTTTTCATATTGTTGAGCTTAAGGTTTATATTTCAATATTTCACCATGAAATGTCAAATCCTGGACAGCTGACAATGTGAGTTAAACATGCGTTAGCTGATATGTACAGTAGCCATCTCTACTTTCAGTCTCAGTTTTCAAACTCAGAAGCATTAATTAAAATTTACGCACACACAAAATCTGGCAAAAAGTATCTTTTTGATTTATGGGTTAAAATTTTTCTTTACTAAAGTAATTTACCAAACTGAAAAACAGGGCTTAATGTTGGTCTGAGCGTATTTTCACTCCTAAAATGAGATTTGGTTCGTCCAAAATTTGAGCACAACCAGAAAAGCAACACTTCATTCTGACTCCCTTACAAATGCTTCAGAACAGTTCTCATAATAATGTTCTGGGGACAGTCCCTACAGAAACCAACACTGCACTCAAGACTTACAATAATTAAAATAATTAAACTGAGGTTTCTACTCTTGGGGAAGTTAAGTCCTGTGAAATGCTAACTATATAACTATTTTGGTTTCCTTTCTAAATTACTGTAGAATACATGTACAAAACTCAGAGAGGCTGCTTAGAACATAGGCAAGGAATCAGATAAACAAGAGGGAGCTGCTTTCAAAGCTCACCAGCCCTCTTCGCCATCTGGGGGTGGCTCGGTTCCTGCCTGCCCCTCAGGTGGAACTGAATGGAAGGGGGAAAAAAGACACGGTGCCACTGGTTTGCAAGGTGCCTTTTCTCATACATTGCCTTATTTCTTCTTTAGAACTATCCTTTGAGGCAGAAATGATCAACTTTATGATGATTTGCAGAAATGCTTTTTACTATGTACTCTTCATTTATGATATATATGAATAAAAGTAACAGGTCTGACAAACTAAATATGACAAACAAAACACAAGAGCTTTTGAACTGACCAAACACAGAGGTTGTACTCAACTTACCCACAATATCAGAATTTTTTAATGTATTATATTTAATCCAATATCAAAAAAAATTTCTACGAGAAACATTCTATCCTGTCTGAAAAAGACTTTCTGCTGCCCTTTGGAGCTCCCTCATACAAACATGATGATTGTGAAACAAAGAACAGTCTTGTTTCCAATCTTCTGTTACATCACACTCCGCACATTGTAGTGTTATGTACTTTCCCATCAATTACATATTCTACAATAATTGTACTTCCCTGATTGCTTAGAGAAGGGCTTTCTTTACTTGGAGATATAGTACTTCCTGAGTATTTCTGGCCTTTGGATTCTATAAAGATAATTTGGTTACAGTCCTGCTCTTTGAATCCTAGTGACATTTGGCTAAAGCTTTGTTTCCCTGTCCCTCATCAATAACAGTAACCACAACTATTAAAAATCCTGTAATCAGCCCTGACCGATATGGCTCAGTTGCTTTGATTGCCGGTCAGGGCATAGGCGTAGGTTGCAGGTTTGGCTCCTGGATGTGGCGTGTACAAGAGGCAACTGATTGATGTTTCTCTCTCACATCAATGTTTTTCTCCCTTTTTCCATCCCTGCCCCCTCTCTATAAATAAATAAATAAAATCTAAAAAAAAAAAAATCCTATAATCACTTTAAAATTCCATGTGGCCAAATTATGCAACACAAAAAAATATCCAGTTGCTTTTTCTTAGCCAGAATCATGTATAAAATGGAACAGGGGCTCAACAGTTAAAGAAATCCAAACTTCTGATTATGAAGGGGGACCCCACATAAAAAATTGTGCATTTATTCGTACATGTTTAAACCTCAGTCACCTTCAAAGTACTCCCCATTTGATGCCATACACCTATTGAGACTTTTTTCCACTACTCAAAAAAGTTTTTGAACTCATTGATTTTGATGCCTTTTAGCGCTTCTGCTGTTTTTTTGTTTCACCTCCTCCACATCGGCAAACTTCCCTTTGAGGACTTCTTTTATCAGGGGAAACAAAAAATTTGCCTGGAGTGAGAGCAGGAGAATATGGAGCATTGGGCATGGGGGTCCTGCCATTTTTGGTCAAAAACTACTGAACACGCAGCACTGTGTGGGCAGGTGCGCTGGTAAATCACTCATCGTGAAATGGGCAAGTGTGTTGAGAGTCTTCAAAAAAATTCCCTGCAGCTGAATGCGGCCTCTCGTAACGCCAGCCGCTGCACTGATACAGGTGGTTCCTAGGCACCTAGCAGGGGGAGCCTGTACTACAAGGGGCCAACTCGCCAGAAAATAATTGTTTTTTTTGGGAGTCCACCTTGTATATTTTGCAAGTAGACTTAAAAGATTCGAGAAAAGCAAAGTCCTTGGTTGGGTCAAAGGGGGGAAACTGGTTAGAATTTCCAGAGAGTGGTGCCTGACTACAAACTCCCTGAAAACTGAACTCACTGTTATAAGATTTAACTTAGGGAAATTTCTGATTTGGACTTGCTGGGGGGCAGGGTGATGATGACATTATGAACATGATCCACATGGTTTGTTATTTGTTTGGGAAAAAAATAAAAAATAAAAATAAAAGGACACCTGCTGAATATGAAGAACTCTGTAATGATCCTTTATATTTTGAGCTGGCAATTAGATTGGTGATTGAGCTTCAGTCAAAACTAGGCTCAATAAAAGGTGCTTTACACATCAGCAATATTTTTATTAGCATAATTCTCATGATGTAGATTAATCTTTATACACATTTTCTGGTTTTTCCTTAGGATGCTTGAAGTTACCTTTCACATCATCAGCATTAAAAAAAAAATTCTGTCTCTGACTTGAACTCTGAGATGTAACTTCTCCTTTATTCCACAGACAGAAAAAATTACTTTATCTGAACACAGCATCTGAATTGTCAATCTGACGATCACAGCTACTCATAAAGAAGAAAACACTTTTTAGTTGCTGAATGGAACCAGGATGCCCGCCAATGCTTTAGTTTTTATTTGGCTAAGTAAAGACAAAAAAAAAAAAAAAAGTTCTGAAAATTTGGTCCAGTGGAAATAAGAGCTTTGATATTCGGTAAACTAAGGAGGCTTTGTCTGCATGTTACCAAATGTCCATCTATTAACCTGTCAGAAACATTTATCTCACAAGGCAAGAGCTGAGCCATATCCAGAAAAATGAAGGGGGGTGGGTGCTGATTTCACTGGGTGTTTTCTGCTGCTTCCTTTTCTCTTTAAGTTGGACTGGAAATGCTGTGAAGAAAATCCTCTGAGTAATCTGCCCTGAACAAGGAAGTCCATAAAAAAGAGCAGGGACATAGGAGAGGGGACACAGAGCTTCAAAGAATGTGACTGTTATCTGTGCTTAAAACTCAGAAAATATGCAGTTAGGAATTATCCGTTTAACTCCTTAGTTATAGTTGATTCATGTGAAAAAGTGCTTTAAAAGTCCACAGTTCGAGTTTACAAACATTCAAAATAAATATCTGGCAGGAAGTGTCTCCAAATGCAACAGCTCGATTATACAGGGTGGAACAAAAGTAGGTTTACAGTTGTTCATACAGAAAAAGACATGTAGGTTATGATTATTACAAAAACTTTATTAACTCCATTGTTTTGAGTACTCATAATGGTAAACCTACTTTTGCCCCACCCTGTATTTAGAAAGGAAATGTTCCCAATAGGCCTGAGTTAATCAGAAAATAAAACCTGAAAGCATTGTGAACAGAAACATGGGTAAACGAAACTGATTTGAAATACATAAACACTGACAGGAACACAAAAAACATACACTCAAAGAGAAATATTCCGCATTATATAAAGCTAGCAAATACCAACTAATTAAAATTAATCAATATATTTGACTTTTTGACAGAAAATTTTCCAAATCTGTTACTTAAAACGAGACAGAGGAAGTAATCTCTTTCATCCCCTCTTCCTTCTATAGCTGTGCTGCTCATATCACGTCAGGTCTTTGGTGATGTAAAACCCTGAAAATGTGGTTAAGTTGCGTCAGCTACTAGAAAATGCCTACTTTGCTACTTCTTGTTGTGTGAAATGACATAAATTCTAAATCTCGATATGCTCATCAATAAATGGGAATAATCCTGACCTCAAAGTGGTTAGAAGCACTAAATAAGCACAATTTCATTTTTGTCTTTTTCACCCAGCCCCACAGCCTCCCTCCCTTCTGACAGCTATCAGCGTGTTCTCTATGAGTCTGTTTCTATTTTGTTTGTTAGTTTATTTTGTTTCTGAGATCCCACATGTGAGTGAAATCATATGGTAGTTGTCTGACTGGCTTAAGTTGGTGAAGGGATTAGGCTAAAAACAAAACCAAAAACAACCTCATAAACACAGACCACAGTACGGTGACTACCAGAGGGCAAGGGAGGTGGAGGCAGGTAGAAGAGGGAAAAAGGGGGAGAAACGGTGATGGAAGGAAACTCGACTAGGGGCGGTGAACACAGTACAGTATACAGACGATGATTATAGAACTGTACACCTGAAGTCTGTATAGTTTTATTAAACAATGTCACCCCAATAAATTCAATTAAAAAAGTTAAAAAAAAAAAAAGCATGATTTCTAGCCCTCAATGGATAATAAACGTTAGGCTTCAGGGTATTACCCAATCCTTCGAACCACTACCACTAGAGATAAAGAAGTAAGGTTGCAATTTTACTAGTGTTTTTAAAAAAAAATCTTATTTAGGTATTAGAGGTACATTTACATAATACACATGCCAAGACAGCTAGCTATTTCTCCATTGCAAGCCCCAAGGCCACATAATATACTGTGCTGAACAAGAACAAAACATTCAAGAACAGACGGGCAACATGAAAGAAAGAGAGGCAGAGGTTCAAAATGACCCCAAAGTGGTCAGAGCTGAACCTCTAACAGAAGGAAAAAACAAAAGGAACTGGGACAAATCCAGGCCAGAACAACCAGTAACAAAGGTGGGCGCTCTTAGGCTCACAGGTGCCAAGCAGAAGGCAAACTGCCCTGACACACAGCCACAAAAGGGTTATCTGAGGGAAAGGGCACGGATGCTTTCAGTAAACAATTTAACAAGCCCAAGGTAAGGCTATTTTTAAACATACCAAGTGTGGAGGCTCATTTATTCCAAGTGGTTCCTGAAAAACATTAAAACATTTAAAAAATTGTAACCATATAATCTTAGTTGTCTTTTTGAAAGTTTTGAAAATATTGAGTGGGGGGGAAGGTCTAGCCAACTGACTAGATTCCTTAACTTGGCCATGACCCTCCAATAACTTAATAACTTAATGAATTCTCTTGTAATAATTTTGTATTTATTACTATTTCATTTTGAGTAATACTGTAGCTAGAAGAAAAATGTGCCCCAATACCCATTAGAATGAAAGTCTGAACTTCCCACCATTCTCTCCCAACACTATCTCACGGGTACCCACACTCTCCTGCAGTATTTGTTATTACCCACGCTTTTTGTGGAACACCCTTTCCATCCCCGCTTCCATGCCTGGAAAAATTGTCTTTGTCCCTTAAGACATCACTCAATGCATTCTCCTCTGTGGCATGGCGCCCAGGTCCCCAGCCCCCGCACGCTCCCTTTCCCCGGCTCCCCCTCCACTGCCTACGCACTTCATTTTCTCACCAATCACTCTGTCATCAACTGTCCACACATCTATCTCCTCAAAGAGACCAAGACTCATGAGGCAAGTCTTATCCATCTATCTCCAGTGAATCAGTACAGTGCCTGGCTTATCAGAGGCACTAAATAAATGCTGCTTACTGAATCAACTCTACAAATTACAGAGCCACTTCATCAATGTGCTAATACCACATACGAGCTCTCTATGGAGTCTCTAGAAATTCATATGCTGTTTCGTTTTCTCTTTGTATACATATAACATACTTCAACAATTCCACTTTTAAAAGGCTGGTTCCACATATTCAATTATATGCCATGACATGCCACTGGCATTAGTTATGTTCATACTTAACTCACCAGTTGGATAGGTCGTATTGACATGATTATGTTATTTGATCCTCCCCAGTCAAAAAAGCATTTGTATTTCCCTTTCTCTAAAATGTACTGTTCTCCACAGAAAAACTTCTGCTGGTAGGCAACCCATCTAGGAGGGGAGAAAGGAAAAAGAACAGCAGTAATGTAAAACTGAGCAACCGACACTTTTAAATACCAAAGAACCTCTCAAGGTTTGCCAGGTGGGAGACAACTTACACTCCACTTTTAACATGAATGGATCTTGTTTCGCTTCCAAAGCCTATTTCTTCTAAGTCAGAGATATCCTGATTTGTAATGTCAATAAACTTCCCACTTTCCAGGTCAGATTCAAACAGTGTGATGGAAGATTCTATAAAATTCTAAAAAGAGGAAGAGGAAAGTTTAGAAAAATGTATGCATTTTGTTTTATGGATTGCTAAATCTTTGCACAATTTTCACATACTTGTAGAATAATTTTCACACACATAGCTCCAGGAAGAATTTTAATAGGCACTGGAAACAATTTTAACAGTCACTATTCCTACATATTGGTAGTTTTAAAAAAGCCTCTGTGTTTAATCAGAAAAACAGAACATTTTTATATAAATGGAAATCAGTCAACAGTTGGTAAATTGCTATGACTTAAAGGAGACCATATAGAACACCAACTGTAAAGGAAACTAAAGTCTCAATTATGCCTAAAGAGCAAAAACTACGTGAAACAAAATGGGCAATGAAGGAAAGAATTTTATGCACTTAAATGAAATTAAAAAAAAAAGTCTGCTTGACAAAAGAAAAAATTATTAAAAAAATAAATTGAGAGAAAATTAAAAACATTTTTAGTCAGAAAAGATATTTGAAACAAAATTGTCAGAAAAACTCTAAGTCCCAAATTAATAAATCAGCAAAAAACAGACAATTCACAGAAAATTAAAAACAAGCAAATGGCTAACTTCACTAACAAAAATAAATTCATAATAAAACAACTGACACAATTTTCACTTTTTAAATTAAGGCGAGGATCTTAAAATCCAGTTTTGTCTGGGAACACTGCTGGTGGAAATATACACTGGATTTCCATTTTAGAAAATAATTCAGAAATACACTTAAAAGGCTGAAATTGTTCACATTCTTTAAGTCTGAAATTAATTCCTTTTTAACTTGAGTTTCTTAACGAAACTAAACAGCAGGCAATTTATATGCAAAGATTCATTACTTGTAATAGTGAAAAGCTGTAAACAACATAAATGTTCAAAGCTGTATAAAGAAAAACTTTTATGCATCCACCACTTGATGGAATAAAGAGTTTTTAACATGCTAACAGTTAAATATAGCCTATACTTATTACCGGCTGAGAGTTTTATGTGCACTCTTTTCAAAAGAGCCACCACCAGTAATATATGACATTATATTACTATCATTCCCATTTTTCAATTAAGAAATTGAGTGATATATAATTATACTGACTAATATATAATGATATAATGTTAAGTAATATATGTGTATGTGTATAAGTACACACTTATAAAAACATTATCTAGATATCTGCCATTTTTCAGATGAGGAAACCAAGGCTTTAACAGGCCCATAAGCGATTTGCCTTAAAGCACCTGGATAAGCTCCCAACAGAAGTATGATGTTTAAAGCCTGGGTGCCACGTTAACGAACCTGGTTGTACTGACGATACGCACTTCCATCACCTGAAGCATCTGAACATGACTTTGACTCTTGAAAACTGAAAATGTGTAAGTAGTTCAAGGCAACTGGGAGCCAGTATCAATAGACACCAACCAAGTCAGGCCCAGCCACGGGGGGAAGGTCTTTAGCAGCTCTCAAATACACGGACCTCTCCTCTCACACTCCGGTGACTCTGGAATGCGCCACCTCTGCTTCTACTTATGTCTCCACAACTGCCTATTCTCTACTCCTGTTAGGGTTTTAGGAATGGGGGAGCAAGGGTAGGCTGAAAAATACCATGGGTCAGTCATTGTATTATGTTGGAGTCAAACAGGACAAAGACAAAAAATTTACAGATTTGTGCATGTGTGCTGTGTTAGGGCCCTTTCATTAACATATCCTGGGTTATGATGTGATGCACTCCACTAGAGCACTGATTTGCACAAATGACACTGTGTGGGTTGTGGGGGAGTGATGGCAGTGAGGAGGGTGAGTTGAGAAGCAGGCTGCAGGCACAGGCCACCTGGCAGGGATGCAGCCCAGAGCCGAGTGGGGTGGGAGGACTCCACTGCCACACGGTCCACAGAAAAGTACAAGTGCTGGCAGCGTATGAGTTCACAAATAAATCTACTCCCATGCTCTGTCTACCACTCGCAGAGACTTTGCCAAGGGGCGAGGGAGTCTCCCAAGTGGTGTTGCTCTCCTCTTTCCATCTTCTGCTTTTGTTTACTCCTGGCTTTTTGTGCCTTATAGCTTTTGCCTTCCATCCTTTTCCTAAGTTCCCTCTGAACCACACTCCAGTTTTGACCCTCTCTCCATTTTTCCTCAGACCTACCAAATATATGATATCTGATCTAGTTGACTAGTTGCCATCAATATGTGCCCCTTCTGGGCAGAGCTCTAACAAAAAAATTTTTAACTGTCTTCTTCAGGAGGTGACTGGAACAGGCACGCAGAGTCCTGTCCTGAGTACGCCCTGCGAGGTTACTAGGTCACTGTCACTCCCACTTTCTTGGGCATAATTAAATAATTTCAAAAGTCACACTCATTCCAATGGAGCTCCACAGCTTGAGAAGAATAAGGATGGGATGACCTCAAATTTATATTCCCTTTTATTTTTTAAATAAAAATCCACTGATAGTTTAATATAGGTTCAGGTACAGTACTCCTAGTGCTAGAGACAACCAAGAGCCATTGCTGCAGGACCAAAGATAAGTCTTAAGGATCAGCAGTTGGATTATTTTTAAATTCCATAAACTCCCTCAGCTGACTGGGCCCTGGCGCTCTTGTGCGCCCACCCGCCATGGGCGACATAACACGAGACACCAGTGCGGATCTAGCACATCCATTCGTTTAGGAGCGATACCGGGGTCTGCTGCATGCCACCTGGATTTGGAGGTCTGAGAAGAGGCCCAAAATCGGAAAATGATATACAAAGGCAAATCTAAAAAAGTCAGTAAAAAACTGAGGAAAAACAAGCCTACCAAGATAGTTTTGTTGAGGAAGCCAGGGAATAAAAACTCCTTCTTTAACCCCTGGAGCCTAAATACTGTTATATTCCTTCTGGTCTTGTCCTTTAAAAAATAATCAAGTCCAAGTCAACACATCTGCCTGACTCATTTAGAGTTAGGAACACATTTCTGCGTGTACTCTCCAAAGCACTCCGGGACACAGCTCATGTTATCCCCAAGGAATTCGTCCAGGATTTGACCTTAGTAGATCCACAGTGTTCTGCACACTGGAGCCAGGACATTAGAAAACTGCACTGTATTATGCAGTTTTTTCTCTCTATCCTATTGTTTATTTTTAAAATTTTTTAAAAATTATTTATTTTTTTAGAGAGAGGGGAAGGGAGGGAGAGAAGCACAGATGTGTGAGAGATACATTGATAGGCTGCCTCTCACATGTCTTCAACTGGGGACCTGGCCTGCAACCCAGGCATGTGCCCTGACTGGGAATCTAACTGGTGACCTTTAGGTTCGCAGGGTGGCACTCAATCCACTGAGCCACACCAGCCAGGGCTGTTTATTTTATATCACTTCAACTTAGATCTTAAGTATAGCAGTTCACTCTTTCCAAGGTTAAAGACTTCTGAGAGAGTCCATGTGGGGAAATGATGTCTCACAACAATTCTGCCTGATAACGTATGTAGGTCTGTAATAATCACAAAGTTTTAAATCCTGTATTATATACTTGAATTTTTCAAAGAGGGTAGACCTTATGCTAAGTCTTTTTGTCATACACACAGAAACAGTAATAATAAAGGGGATGGAAGGAAACTTTGGGAGGTGATGAATATGTCCACAGCCTTGATGGCGGCAGGGGAGTTTCATAGGTCTAACTTATCCCCAAATTCACTGTACCAGGTCTGGCACAAATAACACCCCTTCTTAATTATAAAATCTTTTATTACAAAATCATAAGCATGTAATTCTGTAACATAACAACACCAAATGCAAGCACACCATAGGAAATTTTAGGTGAAATGTTCAAATTAAAACTATAAATTATTACACCCATACTATTACCCTACGAACCACATTCGAACAGGCCTTACCTCTGCTGGACCCTGGGTGTGCAGCTTTTTAGATGTCAATCATGCCTCGATAAGATGTTTTTAAAAAAGAGACCTCCCTAATTATATGCTGTGTCTAGCAAATGTAAACATTTTAAAAGTATAACTTGATAAGTTTTTAAAGCATTTTAATAATATATACATATTTAAATTCTATATTTTCTAAATAGGTATAGGTTTTTTTAGTGTATTTCATCTGCAAATGCTTTAATGAACATAAATTTAAATAACTAAACTGAAAGTTCATCTAAGTAATTATTTATTATATGTATGTGTATTATTCTGCAATGTGACCATGTATTTAGAGCTACAAATGAAATGCTAATCAACCTTTGGTTGAATGAGATCCAGTTTTCCATTGTTAACGTGCTCTTTTAGGCTGACCATTTTGTAAATGAGGAAGATGAATGACATGGCAGAGGCTCCAGAGTAAGGCAGGCTTGTCCTCAAATCTCAGCTTTACACTCGGGCACTATCTCTTAGCAGTTCAGTTTCTGTGTCTGTAAGATGGGAATCACAGCTCTCTCACTGTCTTGGTGAAAATGAAGTATACGTAGGCATGTAAAGTGTTAGAATATTATAATGAGAGTTAGTAAAACATCTTTAGCTATAATCTAACAACTAATTTTTTAATTAAAAAAATCTAATTTAAAGAGAATAGATTTTCTTTGAAGGGTATTTTTATTTACATAAAAATTGTGTGTCATTTTTGTAAATGCTGCAAATTTTGTGTGCAGCACTAATTAACATGCCAATTTATGCCAATTTTTCCAATGGGCATCATCATAGACTATATGAAATATTTATTTAGCTATACAGGATAGGGCAAAAGTAGGTTTACAGTTCTACTTTTGGATAATTATTATTCTTATATTATTATTTACTTATTAATTATTGTATTTAAAAGGAAAGAATGTAAACCTACTTTTACCCCACCCTGTAGAGTTATAAGTATTCATATCTTTTCACATTTTCCACTGTTGGTAGATTTCAACTAGTGATAGGAGGGGTTTTTTTTGTTTGTTTGTTTGCTTACTTCCTTCCTACCATGCCATTTCTTGATTTACTCACCAAAAAAGATCCTTCGAAACTACTAATCTAACCAGACTCACTAGGTCTCAAATCCCTCAGTGGCTCATGATCAAGTCAAGGAAGAAAAAAAAAATCTGAACTCTCCAACATGGCATACAAGGCCACTCATTATCTGGTTCTGCACGCGCCTTGCCAAAGTTCTCCCTGACACTCTGACTTCGCTTCATTTCCCAAACACACCCCCTTTTACTTAACATGGCAGTTTCTCAATCCCAGCACTATTAACTTTTTGGGTCAGATGATTCCTTCTTTAGTAGGGGGTGGGGGTAAGGGGACTCTCCTGTGAACTGTAGATGTTTACCAGGATCCCTGGCCTCTACCCACAAAACATCAGTAGTGCCCCCCACCCCCAAGTCATGACAATACAAACTTTCTACAGACACTGCCAGTGCTCCCTAAAGGGTAAAACCATCCCAGGCTGAGAACCACTGGCTGACACCCTTACCTTTGCACATGTTAATCTCTTGCTAAAACTGCCCCTACTTTTCCCGTTCGCCGTGTCCTGAATTTTTTCACTTGGCTAACTGCTGAACTTGAAATTTCAACTCAGCTGTCATCTTAATCTCTTCTCACTTCCATGCAGGAGTAACTGATCTTTTTCTGATTGCCCTGAGTGCTTTGTGCTCAATCCAATCACAGTGAAATTATAGTAAACATTTTTATAAGTGTCACTTCCCTACCAGACTGCCTGCTCTGCGAATCAGGGACTGTCTCTGGGCACTATATTTCCAGCACCTGGCACAATACAATGCAGTTATCAAAGCAGGTGCTCAAAAATGTGGAATCAATAGATGAAAAAGTAATATAAGTATTCTGGCGTAATTGTGGCAGTTAAAAACAGGCAAGTCACATAAGCAGTTCAATTTTGTGCTGTCTGGTTTTAGAAACATTTTATAACCTCATGTTCTATCAGAGGTCATGTCCAGGTTTTGTGGAAAGATACAGAGAGAGAAATTAAGAATTTGGGCGCTCACTCACAGCTTGTAAGTACCGGAAAGACAAGATGGGGCCACTCAATGCCCCACAGGTAGTGCTGTCTTCAAAATCTCCTTCTTCAAGCAAGAACTGCAGGCCTTTAAAGTGCTCTTTTTCATAGGCAACCCACCTAGAAATACACAGGACAGCAACTGAGCTATTAATAAAAATGTAGTCAAGAAAGCAAGAAAAAATTATGATAAAGTGCCTAGTTCCACATGACAATATATTAAAAAGCAACACATTTGTTTTGTTACCATTTACAAAGACAAATGTTGTATGCTTCTTGGATCAATAGTTTTTATATTCAATAGTTGGAAGGCTTTTCCCAACAAAAGGTTAACTGTTGTAGAATTGCACCAAAGCAGTGTTCATCACATGTATGTGCTGTGGTCTGATACCACATCTCGAAATGGCTGGAGAATAGTTTGCCAAGCAAGAAATTAATAGAGAGCACAAATAAGCAATGAAAAGTTACAAACCCACAATGAGATTCAAAGATTATCATTCTTTTTTTACTCATGAAGCCCTTCTGGAACCACAGAATGATTACTCTTTAAGCATTTATTTAGGGTTTAAGTCAAAAGAACCCCTCACCAGGCTTTAGACCTAAAACACATTATAGGGGGATTTAGCAAAGAGAAAGTGGGAAATGCCACGGAGCTGGGTTAGCCCTGGTGGCCTACACATATACAAACATTTCTCTAAATATTTACAGAGGGAAGTGTTGCTCCTACCATTTTATCAGCGGTGATAATGGAAGCAGGTGGTAGAGCACTGTTCAGGGACACAGGTTTCTTGACTTCTAAAACCATCAGTAGAGAACACTGCTATTAAGCTCCTCCACGGAACTTACATTTTACGGAGTAACTGGAGTAGCTAATGCAGTGTGGGTATAGAGGGTTCACAGCAGGCGCTGACCTGCTTAAATGTGCCTTCAGCTGCACTGGGCACGTTCCAAGGATGACTATTCTGGGCTCCTGGGTTGGGGACTTCTGAATTCTGGAGTTTGACAAAATGAAGCCTGGTAGGGCTACAATTATTATTATTTTTTTGCCTCTTTTTCCGCCCCTACTATAGTTGTGAAGATATAAAAAATATTCAAAGAATTGTTTCTATTGGGTGCAAAATTACAGTAGCTGCTCAGTGATGGGTCTGATCCCGAGGGCACGCATGGGAGGCAACTGGTCAATGTTTCTTTTTCAAATCGATGTCTTTCTTTTCTCCTCTCTCTCTCTAAAATCAATAAACATATCCTTGGGTGATGATTAAAAAAAAAAAAAGGCACAACCCAATCAGGGCAAAGATTTTCTGGGGTTCCTGCCCCAGTAACTGCTGATTGAGACTGGGTTAGTACAATGATGGTTACACTTGGGATTACACTTAGGGCTTCTTTGGGGGCTTCCAAAAGGAGTCAGGGCCAGAGGGTAATTAATATAAAAAGTGCTCGACTTTGAAACAGACAGCCTGGGCTACTTCTTAAGGAGGGAGGGCTCACTGCCAATTCCTCAGCACAGAAAGTTAACCATGATCTACAGAAGAGAGGATTGAAACCAGGGCTCTCATTCGTGTTCATCATCTGTGAAAAAATAATTTTATTTGCAATTCTTAATTTCTGTATTGGATTTAGCAATACTAAGCACTGAAGTTTTAGAAACTGTTTTCTGTATTTAATCGCTCTGTAAAACCAAGAGTTCACAGAAAGCTATTCGTAACTAATATATTTTTTATTTCCCATATTATCAAAGGAATTTATATCTTCAGGCTAAGGAAGGCTGTTTTTGCTCTGCTTAGCACTTTTCTTTTGTACTGACATTCAAAAATAGACTACTAAATCAACTATTGAAAATATGACACTCACACTCCACCAATGACACGAATTGATCCAATTCCATGAAAGTCTCCATCATTTTTTAAAAAATTTGGGACAGAATCTATATGTTCACTAAACCCTTTGGCCTGTCCACGGAAGTGAGGTTTTTCATAAATAATAACCTGAAAAATATGAAAAAAATTATTTAACATGTTGATACTTAGAATAAATATCTACTCATTTACTGAAGTGGTACTCAAGATGACAACATGAATAAGGATCACTGTTTTTTCATTAATATATTTTTATAATACATCACAGTGTCTAATATTCACAAGGAATAAACAAGTCTTTAACATCATAAAGATAAAATATCTTAATGAATAGTATACTTCTGTCAGATTAACACACTCAAGGCTGATCTCACTGCTGTGGTTACCAAATCCGAGGGCCATCTCATAGGATGAACTGTCTTGAATTACCTTTCTAAGTTTATCCCTGTGGCTAGGATTTAGTACATACCTGCCTTATATTTATGGAATTTTCCCTTTAAGAAATAAAAGTCTCTTGTGGTTCCAGGGCATAATAATGAATTATCTATTGATTTGAGAAAATATATGCTATTTCTTATAACACTGCTTCTATGGTCATTACTATTCAATGGGAAGAAATAGGAAGGCAAATTCTTGAATCTAAGTACAAAGCTTCCTAAAAATAATAAATGACTGAAAAAACTATAGAGTATTTTTACTCCATATTTGACTTAAATTGGAGGGGGTGGTGGGAAGGTGAGTGTAGAAAGAAATAAATTTCCAGCATTTCATTTACTTCAAATTTGGATTGCTGCAAGTATTTCTCTTTTACCATTTTGATGCTCTTTATTCCTAAGTATGAGCTGCCCTTAGTATGTGGGAGTGCTAACAACACTAGTCTATCCATACCCTATCACCTGGTCCTATCTGTGGCCAATGGCATAATTTGTGCACAACTGGCAATCCATGACCTTGGTGAATTAAAATCCGATCCTTAAAACACATTGAACCAGTGAGTAATAGATCTCTTACTTTTAAAAACTGATAAAATTATGCAGACAAATAAACATGCAGCACTGCTCCTGCAATTTTCTTTATTAAGTTTTCAACAGGCACTGTATTGGAAGTAATAAAGTTTTATTTGAATTTAATACATGCTATGTATACTGAACACACTCAAACCAAGAAGGAAGCAATAATTCTTTAATGAGTAGGCCATAAACTAACATTGAACAACTTGAAAATTGTGAGTGGCTATGATAGCCACTCCATTCATATACCTCTACAACCTGTCAAACTGCAAAGGTCGAAGGAAGACCCGGCCCACTGCACCTGAAGTTCTGATTCAGCAAACAAGGAGATTGAGATGGGAGTCACTCTGGGAGGGTCGTGTCATGGTTAATTCTGCATCTATTAGGTCCCTGGTCTGAAACTCTGGGTACAAGGCAGAGTCACCCGGGAGGTCTGAAACACGTGACTACACCCGAGACCAAAAGAGTTATTTCTGTGAGGGGAACCCGGGCTTAAGAATTAAAAAAAAAACAAAAACAAAACAACCAAACAACTCAGATGTGCACGATTCCATCATACAGTCAAGATGTATGATTAGATGCACTCTGACATAAAGTTCCAAAAGACTCCATTCTATGTGACTGTGAGAATGATAGTCAGACTCATAAATTAGGAAGCCCCAAACCGGAGGTTGGGACGAGTTGTGTCTTGTTTTGGAGGACGGAAGAAAAATGGATAAACCCCTGCCTCCATACCTGCCTTTGGAGGTGCTGTGACCTAATTCAACAGAGGCTTGTTTGCATCTTTGGTCACTGCACTGTTAATCTTCTAATCTCTATTTATACATATTTCATAATTCTATTTCTACCTTTCCTTCCCGTATGTGCTTAATCTTCATACCGCTACCACTCCAGTGTTTACTGCCTCTACCCTTCTAATACTCATGATTAAAAAACTGCCACCTGTCTGACAAGAGCTACCTGCACCTTCTGATCATCCTTGGTCGCCTTGAACGTCACTCCCAAATGCCTGTGAGTTATCTCCATTTGAATGCCTAGCTGCCACCTATATCTGACCCCAAACAAAAATCAAACTTCCTACCTCTTCACCTATTAGTAGGTGCTTACTGCGCTTGCCTGGGTTTTCAGTACAGACCTCGAGCTGTGCATTCCGACCCTGCTCCCCATTCCCCGCCTGGGCTCTCAGCAACTCATCTGTGCAGTCACTTCTACCACCCCAACATCCACGGGCTGGCAGCTGTTAGCACATACCCAGGCAACTATTTTCTGTTTTAATGGTTCAAATAACTTAAAGATTAATCCCCAAACTTTTTGGCCTACTGCAAGAGTCTGCTCAAACTTACCTTTAAGTTCATAGGCATTTCCACTTTTAGTCCACCCTTAAAAAGATGATGAGAAATTTTAATGTTAAACATATAAATATTGAAAATATTTCAAAGTAACTGTGATGTATATAGGTTATATAAAAACCTGATTAGTGAAGATTACATACCAGTTAAATTTAAGTTGTGGTAAATTTAAAATTTTTTAAATAGAACTCTATAATCGTTAAAATCAAGTAAGACTTCTCTACATTCATGTAGACAGGGCAAAGGATATTAAAAAGATACTTTCAGGTTACAATAACTACAAGGAAGGAATTGAACTTTAGTCCTTAAGCACACATGAACCTTTAAAGATTTAATTGCATTACAGAGTAAATAAAAATAAGAGTGGAGTTGCTATATTTACTTATTTTTTAAAATTATATTTCATTGATTATGATATTGCAGTTGTCCTGATTTTTCCCCCTTTGCCCCCATCCACACAGCACCTCCCACTCCCTCAGGCAATCCCCCCACCAGTGTTCATGTCCATGGGTCAGGAGTATAACTTCCTTGACCGCTCCATTTCCTATTCTGTACTTTACATCCCGATGGCTATTCTGTGACTACCTATTTGTATTTCTTAATCTCCTCATCTCTTCCTCCAGTCCCCCACAATTCCCTCCGATCTGGTGACCATCAAAACGCTCTCTGTATCCATGGTTTTGTCACTGTTCTTGCTTGCTTAGTTTGTTTCTTAGATTCAATTGTTGATAGATTTGTATTTTTTGCCATTTATTTGTTCATAGTTTTGATCTTCTTCTTTTTCTTAAGTCCCTTTAACATTTCATATAATAGTGTTTGGCAATGACGAACTCATTGATGAACGATGAAAAACTTTAGTTTTTTCATGTTTGGGAAGCTCTTAATCTACCATTCAATTCTAAACGGAAGCTTTGCTGGGTAGAGCAATCTTGGCTGTGTGTCCCTGCTTTTCATCACTTTGAATATTTCTTGCCAATCCCTCTTTGCCTGCAAAATTTCTTTTGAGAAATCAGCTGACAGTCTTACTGATACTCCCCTGTAGGTAACTAAGTTCTCTTGCAGCTTTTCAGATTCTCTCTTTATCTTTAACCTTTGGCATTTTAATTATGATGTGTCTTGGAGTGGGCCTCTTTACATCCATCTTGTGTGGGACTCTCTGTGCTTCCTGGACTTGCATGTTTATTTCTTTCACCAAATTAGGGTAGTTTTCTTTCATTTTTTTTTTTCAAATAGACTTCCAATTTCTTGCTCTTTCTAGACTCTTTTTGGCATCCCTATGATGCAAATATCGGACCTCTTGAGGTTACCTCAGATGCTGCTTATACTATCCTCATTTTTCTGCATTCATTTTTCTTCTTGTTGCTCTGATTGGTTGCTTTTTGCTTCCTTATATTTCAAATCATTAACTTGATTCTTGGCTTCATTCACTCTACTGTTGTTTCCTTGAAAATTGTTCTTTATTTCAATTGGTGTATTCTTTGTTTCTGACTGGATTGTGTTCATGCTGTTGAGGTCTTCACTAAGTTTCTTGAACATCCTTATGACCAATGTTTTGAACTTGGCATCTGATAGATTGCTTATCTCCATTTCGGTTAGCCCTTTTTCTGGAGTTCTGATCTGTTTCTTTCACTTGGGCCATGTTTCTTGTCTCCTGTATTTGTTTCTCTGTATTAGGTAGAGCTGCTCTGACTCCGTGTCTTGGTAGTGTGGCCTAATGTAGTAGGTGTCCTGTAGGGTCCAGTAGCACAGCTCCCCTATCACCCAAGCTGGGTACTAGAGATACGTCCTTCATGTGGGCTGAGTACACCCTCTTCTTATAGTTGAGCCTTGGTTGTTTCTGGCAGATCAATGGGAGGGATTTACCCAGGCCAGTCAGCTGCAAGGATTGGCTGTGACCACTGACATCAACCGCCATCCTCTGTAGAGGATCAGCTGTGCAGGAGCAGGGTAGTGGTGCCTTGATGTGGGCTGTAGCTGCCCACTGGGTACATTGGCCCTGGGGCTTCCCGGTTGGTGCAGGCCAAGGTCAGCCCAGAACTGTGTTTTGCCAGGGCCACTGTGTCTGAGCTATAGAAAAATGTGAGATGGCTGCTACTTGTGCTGGGCTCGGAGGTTCCCAGGGGAAGCCAAGCTGTGAATCTAGGCTGGCTGCTGCTAGTGCCAGGCCTGGGGCTCACTCAGGACAGCTGTTGCTTGTTTGAGAGGATTTAGGAAGTTGTGAAGCATGAGCCAAGACCAGCCATTCTCATGGAAAGGCAGCCTGGATGGGCCCGTAAGTTGCATGGGGCAGTGTCTTTGAGGATCTCCAAGGCAGGCCAAACAGTGTTAGCCAGGTTGATGTGGTCTCAGACATGGTACCAGCTTGCCATCTCAGTCTGGATGTATATGGTGTCTTTAATTCCATAGTCGTCAGACTTCCACTCAGTTTGATTTCTGATGCTTTGGAGTGATGGTTGTTCTATATTTTGGTTGTAATTTTGATGTGGTTGTGTGAAGGGGCAAGATGTGTTTACCTATGCCACCATCTTGACCAGAAGTTGAAGCACTAGTAAATTAAAAAACTCTCAATTGGCAGAGGAGATTTCCAAACCACTTATTATGAAATGTCTTCTCTACAATTGCTTGGGCTTTCTAAATTAAAGAGAGCACTTCTTCTTGCAAGTTTTGTCAATACTTTTTATCACGGTTCATGTCTTTGTGGCTCAAGGTTGTAGAGCATAAAAAGTACCTCTCTCTTCACAAAAACTCTACTTCTATAATGTACTTGTTTCTAATACAATCCCACATTATGAAATTTCCTAAAACATCTTAGTTCTTCTTGTTATATTTTTAAAAGGCACAAAACAACAAATATGGAACATTTAATTCACAGTTTGTCCCTCAATAAAACTGTTTGCAAGAAAATAAATGCTGCACAGACTCATCTTTAAGAAAGCCCCCACTGATAGACCTGCCATTTATTATTAATGCTGAGCTTATCACGCATCACTACAAGGGAAGACTGTAATTTACAAGTGACTTATAATAAGCATAAAAAAAATTCAGAAGTTTATTAACTATTCAAAAATTTCACAGAACAACACTTAAAAGGAAATTCCGTGTATTGTGATAAACTTGGCACAAAGTAATTTCAGACATTTGTCTTCTGAAAAATAACTACAAATTTTCACATAGATATTCTCTACAATATAAAGGAACAGAAAAACAATGAATCAATAGTTTGTTAATTCAGTAGTATTCACATTTTTCAGGACTGAGATGCATGAGCAATCATCATAACTATTTAATTTTGGATTCACAGGTACTTGGAAAAACATTTCCTTTTAAATTTGCTTACCATCTGAAGTGGATGCAATGATTTCATTTCTGCTGCAGAAATCTCAAAGAGCCCATGGTCCTCCTCCAAAACTGTAGCTTGTCCCTTAAAATTAATATCTGGGTAGGCAAGCCAACTAAATAAGAAAGGAATGGCTTGTTAAAGTATAACAGGAATATCTTAGTCTGGTTCTGTAAAAATTAAAAGTAAAAAGGACTACATAAAAACAAAACAAAAACCCACCACAATTATACATATAAAACATACTCAATGTGACTTCACTAAGGAGCATACAATGACTTAAAATGTTATTAAGTAGACCTTCAAACACTACCTGTCCTATAGTAAGTCTATCATATGTTTTCCAAGCATTACAAACTTCTAATACTTAAAAGGTGTGAGCCCTTTAATTCAAGCAGAATATAAGTGAGGTATTACTATCATTCTACTATATCCCGTTCTTTTTAAAATTGGAACAATCAGAGGTAGGGACTCCACCAGGCAACTTACATCTTTGACCTATATTTTTAGAATCAGTATCAGCCTATTGGCTGCCTCAGCAATGGTATATGATATTAGATTCCTAAAAGACTCAACTAGCTCCCACTTAAATTTGATAGTTATAAACACTGCTCATGAACAGGATTAATTACTGGGTCTGCCCAAGAGTTTTAATCCATGGTTGGTGAAGATGAAGAAAGATGTCCTACAATGACCGCAAAATTCTACATCATCATCGTCAAAACAGGTGAAAACAGTGAATGAGAGAAGAGGGGTCCATGTTGAATCAGGCATCACAGAATTTGTGATTCTAGCCAGTCTGAGGCTGATGAAAGACAAAACTCAGAGCCATACTCCTGAAGACACCTTTGGAATCAGAAAGGCCTAACCTGGGACCAATCACTTAATTTCCTCTTCTATAACATGAGAGTAGTTTCCCCTGCCTGGCAGGAAAAGCGGAGTGATACACAAAAAGGCACCATACCCCTGCACTGCAGTGGCACTCACAAACCACTAGCACTGAGACACTCTGGAAATAGTTTGGACGGCAGAATTTTAGGCCAGGGACATATTTTCATTTCTCAGTCCTAAAATTTGGTGTGGAAAAAAGACGATGGATGCATCTATCAAGAACAATGTCTGAGAATTTCTATCTGCTCCTGTGAGTCATACATCAAAGACTTAATAGGAGCTAGAGAAAGACAGAATCTATTTAATCCCTGCAATAGTCTTTCTTGGGTATGTAGGAGTATAAATAAAATTAACTAACACTTCAGGAATATGTATGTCACCTACTGAAATGTGAAACAAAAAGTTAACTTTCGTGGCTATCAATCACTGTAATAAAGAGAAATTGATACATACACTCCTGACTTCACAGTGAAGGACACAGATTTGGGGATATTCAGCTCTTCCAAATTAGGGACTGCTTGCTGTATGTAGATAGGACAACATGCTGGGTCAGACTGTGGGCAAAGTTCTATCTCTGGAATACTGCAGTCCTGAAAAAAAAAAATTGGCTTTGAAATCGTCTAAAGAAACACACAGTCCAGTATTCTCAACACCCTGGACATGCAGTTACAGTTGTTCTCATTGTCCAGTTAAATTTCTTCACAACAGCAGCATAAAGGAAATACTGTTTCTCTGTAGCAGTTTTTAAAATAAAAAAAAAAAAATTATTTTTTTTACATTTTCAATTACAGTTGACATTCAATATTATTTTGTATTAGTTTCAGCATATAGCATAGTGGTTACACATTATACAGTTCATGAAGTGACCCCGGATAAGGTTAGTACCCCACTGGCACCACCACACAGCGTTATTACAATACTGTCGACTATATTCCCTATGTTGTACTTTATATCCCCATGACTATTTTGTAACTGCCAATTTGTACTTTTTAATCCCTTCACTTTTTCACCCAGCCCCTAAAACCTCTCTCATTTGGCAACCAATAAATTTTTCTAAGGAATTACACTGATAACATGAAAATTATACATATTATTGATTGAAAAAGTATTACTCCAATATTTTCTGCTTTGATTTTAAAAGTCTTGTTCCATTAAGCAATGCTCGGAGTTACCAAACTATCTGAGTGCCAAAAGTCTGTATGCCTTCCTTCTTAGAAGCACAACAAAGCCATAGGGAGGAAGGGAGTTAAATAAAAGCTGATCTCATGGGGAACATTAAAAATAAATAACAGAGAGGCACTACACCCTCCGTGTAGTACACCTAATTCACATTGATAGAAGAGGTAGGAATTAGAGGTGAGGGTAAAGGAAATCTGTTTTCCTACTTGCGGTATTCTATTTATTTTCTTTAGTACACGTTGGTTTGAAGAAGAAAGGCATTATGAAACTTGACCCTACATTCCATCCTATATCCAATGTCACCATGTCCTGTCAAACCTTCCTTAAAATTTCACTTGTATATGTCTCTTATCTGCTCCCATGGTCAAGGCCCTTCGTCAAGACCAAGACTCCAATTACGGGCCTACACCACCAGCCAAGTGCTAGCTTCTCTCCACACAGCCGGGCTTGTTAGAACACTGCTTTCCTCATGCCACCCCTTGGCTCAAGACCCAAGCACATCAAGCCTCTATTTGTTTGCTTTTCTACAATACGGCACCGACCTACTCATCTATACTAACTCCCCACAACTCCTCAGTCATAGTGGTCTCCATGCTGTATCTTACCTCTCCCTCTGGCCTCTCTAAGCTTTGTAAATGTTTCCCCCACTGAAATTAAAAGAGATATTTCTCTGTGTTCTTATGAAAATCTTTTAAGAATCAAGTTCTACCTAAAATATGACTCCATCTTTTCTTAAGGAATCAAAACCACAATTATTTCTCCCTTCCTGAAACTACAGATGTGCTTCTGTCTGAACTGCAATCTACCTCAGTAGTGGTGGGTGTTTAATTATATAAATTAAGTTTCAGTGGCATAATTCTCACCCAGGACATTGTGAAATTCAAATGATTATGCTTTAATAAAATAGGTAAATCCAGTAACAATCAGAGGTGACATTTATGGGACTTAAAAGTTTTATTTTTTTCTTTTAAAGATTTTATTTATTTATTTTTAGAGAGGGGAAGAGAGGGGGAAAGAGAGGGAAACATCAATGTGTGGTTGCATTTTGTGCGCCCCCTGCTGGGGACCTGGCCTGCAACCCAGGCATGTGCCCTACACTGGGAATTGAACCAGTGACCCTTTGGTTTGCAGGCTGGTACTCAATCCACTGAGCCACACCGGCTAGGGCTGAAAAATTGTATTTTTTATTAAAATCAGTTTTGTAATCTTAAAAACTGTAATTTTCTAATTTTTAACCTTTCTCCAAACTGAGTTCTCCTATTATTCATTATTAATAATTCTCAATATGTAAAAGTAAACTGATATATCTTATTTTCAGAAGGTTAGCTCCTAAGATACAGTAAAAAGCCATTACCTAAAATATTCTTTAAAGTATAAAAATATATTTCTTTCTAAAGTTTCATTTCAAAATAGCCAGAAATGTCCAGAGCAGTCACCTGTCAATCTTCAAGGCTCTTTTGTTTGCTGTTAATAATAGAGTTCTAGTAACAGAATTGCTGCCATATTCATGTTCCCCCAGGGATCTGCAGTGCAGTAACAGAATACATAACTAAGTGTTGCACGCAAATAAGTTTCCTCTGCATTGTGTTATACAAACAATGTTTGGGCGGTGTACTTTAAAAGGGAAAAAGCTAAGAGGCATTCAAGTCTACCACAACACGAAGGAAACAGCATAATGGAACAAGCATGACAATGGCTAAAAAATGGAAAATAAACAAAAATAAGAATGCTTATGCTGTCATCTATCTTTACTAGAGGATCAATTTTTCCTTCTCCAGTTGACTGAAAAGGATTTCACCGATTAGTGACTCAAGGGTGCTTTATAGTAGCCTAGCAACAATAAACAGTTTACTCTTAGAAAAGTTTATATGGCTTTCTCCCAGACTTTTCTAGCCATGATATATACTTTACAAATATATTTTGGTGACATTTTCCAGCTTAGACTATTAAAGCAATTAGCTGGAAGGGAGACAAAGGTACAGGAGAGAAGAAGGGCGGGAAAGAATTACAGTCAACAAAAACAGTAAGATGATCACTTGTCTCCACCTTCCATAAAATACCTTTGGTCACTGATCTAACAACCGATCTCTTTCTTCTTGGCTCATTCATGAAGGGACAACCGAATTAACTTCTGACTATAACAAAAATGTCATTCCTTTAAAAAAGATGCATAGTAAACACAGTAATTGCAATATCCATTTCTCCTGTTTGAGAAAAGAAGGCACTTGACTCGAGATTCACTACACTGCTGCCCCACCCCAGTCACTTCCACTGGGGGCAAAGATGGCCCTGGGGCAGAATCTACCATTGCTGACAACTGATGGCATCGGCTTGGGCTGCTGTCCCTCCTCGCATATTATCCTGAAAGAACATCAAAATGTTGACTGGTCATGTTAAAGCAACTACAAGGCGATGAAATAAGGCCTAAGTGAATTTGGAATGGCCACCATGAAAGTAAAGCTATCAATAGGCAGCATTTTGACACGGCTGGAGAAAGGAAGCAGTTTGATGCTTGATTCTTACTTTGTTAAATATTTAGAACAATGCTAATGTCTTTTCCATTCGATGCTCAATAGTTTTATTTTCCTTCCTCACTAAAAGTTCCTAGCCTGTTCAAGATACGTGGGCCCTAACAAGGCAATTTTAACAAGGCAATTTAAACAAGACTGCAAGAACAATGGAAGAAGGAAAAAAATGCAAGCATGATTTATTCTTGTAATATATTCCAAGCAAATGGCAGATGTGCAAATACCCATTTATGTACCCATTCTCAACAGATTGAGTTTTTGTTTGATTTCACTGTTGTTTAATTAAGGAAGGGGGAGGAGGTTGCTGTTTGTAATATCGTATTCGTCTTTTTTTTCCCCCCACCAGGCCTGGCGTGGTACCTGACATTCACAAGGCAGGCACAAAACCGCAAGTTATTTAAATCTTAGAAGATTCCACCTATAAACTAATTATTCACTTCAAGGAATTTCTAGTGAGTTAGCCAATTAAGTGAGCACTACAAAGGAACACTGCCCCTTACGCTACAGCCATCAATCTCCCTGCAGTGCCACCAATCCTCTGGCAGGAAACCCCTCGAATTTCCTCTGCTACCTAACTCCTGCTTGCTCTCTCAGGAGTCCAGTCGGTGCCACCTCCTCCAGGAGAGATGCCTCTGCTCGGTGCACCCCTGGGGCTTGCAGAGCCCATCTCACCTCTATGGTCATGTGACTCTGCTGTCTCTCTCTGGTCTTCAAGCAACCTGAGGCAAGAGAGCCTATCCTACTTGTATTCCCATCCTCAGTGCTCATCACAGTACTGGGTCCAAAAGCAGACACAGATATTTTTAGACATAGGTTTGCTACAGTTTTGCAAAGTATTAATTCATATAAAACACATGCAGACACCCTTTTATGATAATACACGTTTTTCTGTATGCTACCACAACTCTCAAGGGTTTAATAACATCAACTCAAATAACTATCAATTTTTGTTTTAAGCGCATAAAAGAAATCTCTATAATTTGTAAAAAAAGTATGTTCTTGACTACCATAGGAGTAATTAAGCTAAATTATGTGCTATGTTTCTGCTGAAGGTACTCTTAAGACTACATGTTAGGCATAAAAAGACACATAGATCAATGAAACAGAATAGAGAGCCCAGAAATAAACCCACACCTTGATAGTCAATTAATATTCAACAGAGGAAACAAGCACATACAATAGGTTAAAAATAATTTATTCAATAAATGGTGCTGGGAAAATTGGACAGATATATGCTAAAAAAATGAAACTAGAGTACCTTTTTTCACCACACACAAGAACAAATTCAAAATAGATTAAAGACTTAAATATTAGAGCCAAAACCATAAAAATCCTAGAAGAAACTACAGGCAGTAAAATCTTGGACATTGCTTGTAGCAATATATTATCTGATATATCTCCCCATGCTAGGCAAACAAAAGAAAAAAATAAACAAATAGGACTATACTAAACTAAAAAGTTTTTCCACAGCAAAGAAATCATCAACAAAATAAAAAGACAGCCCCATGGAATGGGAGGACATATTTGTCGATACATGTGATAAAGGGTTAATATCCAAAATTTATAAAGAACTTACAAAACAACACCAAAAAACCCAAACAACCCAACTAAAAAATGGGCAAAGAGCCTAAATAGACATTTCTCCAAAGAGGACATACAGATGGCTAACAGACCTATGAAAACATGCTCAACATCACTAAGCATCAGAGAAATGCAAATTAAAACCATAATGAGACATCATCTCCCACCTGTACACCTGTCAGAATGGCTGTCATCAATAAATCAACAAACAACAAGCGCTGGCAAGGATGTGGGGAAAGGGGAACCCTTTTGTTCTTTTGGTGGGAACGCGGACTGGTGCAGCCACTGTGGAAAGCAGTATGGAGATACCTCAAAAAATTAAAAATGGATCTGCCTTTGATCCAGAGATCCCACTGCAGGGGAAATATCCAAAGGAACACAAAACATTGATTTGAAAGATCATAAGCACCCTTATGTTCCTTGCGGCATTATTTACAATCGCCATGATTTGGAAGCAGCCCAAGTGCCCATCAAAAGATGAGTGGATAAAACAACTATGGGACATTTACACAATGGAATTCTGCTTGACCGTAAAAGAGAAGAAAATCTCATCCTTTGCAACAGCATGGATGGACCTGGAGAACATTATGCTAAATGAAATAAGCCAGTCAGAGAAAGGCAAACACCATATAATTTTATTTACATGTGGAATCCAGTGAACAAACTGAACTAACAAGCAAAATAGAGACAGACTCACAGATAGAGAGCAGGCTTGACAGTTCTTGGGAGTGGGAGGGAAGATTAGTGGCTTTCAGTAAAAAGGAAAAAGGACTCCCGGACATGGACAACGGTGTGGTGATTGCAGTGGGGAGAGAGTACAAGGGGTTTAAATGATAATGAAAAAAATACAATGAAAAATTTTTAAAAAAGAAAAAAAAAAGGGAGAATTCTCTCCATATCTTACATCTGTCCTTATCACTAATTCACTCTTCCTCTAAACTACCACAGCACTTCCAACAAAATTTTGTTTATACTGAAAGACTGTTTTCATCTTAGTATTAAATAATATTGCTTAAACATAAAGTGTTCTTCTAACACTTTGCTCTCTCTCTCTCTCTCTCACTCACTCACATAGATACATACACACACAGAACTACACAAAGGAGTAGAAATCTACACTAGAAAAAGTGTATATTTGAATTGAAATATTGACTATTTTCCTAAAGATGCCCAGATGATATATTCCTACTACTATTAACTATATATATATTATTACCAGTAACATTTTAAATTAACATTTAATACTTTATATGTATAATGTAAAAAGATTATCATTAATATAATAAAAATGAATAAAATTAGCACAAATTATGGCAACTATTTCTAAACCTGCTAGATCAAAGCACAACTTTACTACATGACAAACAAAACAAGATGAAAAATGGAAGAAAATCAACACCTCTCTTACTTTTAAGACACGTTTGATAGAGCCCAATACGAAACTTCTTTGTGGGCGCTTTCTGTTCTGAAGGATCCAGTCACGATTTAATACCTTTTCCCCTTCTTCTAACACACATTTCTGACCTTGGAAATGTGGCTTCTCATACAAAATCCAGCTGAACAAATACAAAAACATGATCAATGATCATTAATGTCCTAAGAAATGAGGCATAAAACAAATGATACTTAGTAAGTCATAGACCATCTTATCTAGTTGCATTTTTAAATCTGGGTTATTTTCCACTATTACTATATAATCCTATTTTTGAAATGATGATAAATGCTAGTTTAAGTACAAACACTGTAAGAAAGAATGAACTTAGAAATAATACATCCTGAATGTAGTACTACTATATATATATATAGATATGTGTGTGTGTGTGTGTGTGTTATATACACAAAGGCGATATATAGGTGTTATATACACAAAGTTATAAACTTATATTAAGAACAACAGCTTAACAAGTCCAAATTCCACTTCTATCCTAATTTGCTTGACCCTGGTTAACAAAGCACATGTGTCCCACTTTTATCACATGAAGAGAGTACTGTACCATAATGCTTACAACATGAATACCGACCAGTTGGTAACAGAAATACTGGACAGAGAAATCCTAGCTCTAACAGATCCACTGGACAAGGTTCAGAAAAACAAATGAGATTTTCCCTCATTTTTACACTATACAAAGAATCCTTCACTTTTTGAACAAGGCAGCTGCACAAATGACTTTAAGTACGTGGCTTTCTCATTCCTTAGCATCCCACAAATTTTGAACTTGTTTCCAAAGTTATGCTTCATTCAACTGAAGCCTTCAGCACAACTTACCGAATCTATCCCGCTAATAATGCAGTTACACAATGGTATTGATTGGTATATTGTATACAGTAGATCTTGGTACTTAACTGCCAGCTTTAAGCACTAAAAACAGAGTATATTTTCTGCCACAGGAAATAGAACAATTAAATTATAAAATACTAATGTTTCAAGATATTATATTAAAAGCAAAAGGGAAAGGAATGTGACTTTAATAAAAAATACAAATGGCAAAAAAACATTTAATTTGGGGAGGGGAAATGCTATAAAATTTTGAGAGATCTCTTACCAGCCCCTTACAACTTTTATCAGTACCCCATTCGGAAAGGACCATGAGGTAGCATCGAGAATGTTACAATAGACCTCTTGTTTATATTTACTTCCATGGAGATCATAGATAACCATCTGAAACATAGAGAAAACAGGCCCAATAACTATTCTTAAAAAATGCATTTAAAATTGTAAAAAGTCCTAGAATATAGAAAATAAAATGTCCTGAATATGTAAAGAAAACATTACTTTAGATGTTAAATCTTTGAGTAAAATAACCCTTTCCTAAATCAGTTCAAAGTAGGTACTTAAAACTCTCCCAACCTAAAAATAACTCCACTTTTCATATTGTATATTACTCTACGTAAACAACTTACGCTTACCTTCCCAGGTCTTGGGTTACATCTCAGAGTTTGTCTGTCAACATTCTGAAATAATAAAAGTGAAAGGAGTAAGCCTTAAGAAAGATCAGTGGGAAGATATACAACTCACTTTCTCAGCCATCACAAACAAGTCCAATTTATCACGCTTACTTAGTGACATTATGTGCAAGGTGTCCCTCTGGGTGCTACAAGGAAATAAAGGTAAATATAAAGGAAAATAATGTGTTGTCTCTACCCTCGAGAAGCTTAGAGCTTGGAGGGAAGAAATAGTTGACTGCGCTCTCATGACTCCTCTAAGTGGGGTGCTAAGTTAAACCCACAGGTAAAACACAAAAAAAACGCCAGGTTATGAAAATTAAGGGAAACGGCACCAGGGTAATGGAGGTGAGGTGATGGCAAAGGTTCAGAAGGGGCTTGTTGAGAAGTGGTATGGAGAAGACCTTGGAAAACTGAATTTCAGTAAGTGAAAAAACATGGGGTAGGGGAAGTCCAGAAAAAAATTCCAGGAAGAGAACCATCTTGGAAAAAATTACAGTGGTAGGAAACACAGGGCATATAACCAGAGCACAGGGAGGCAAGGCTGAATAAACCAAATTTGGAGGCTGTGTATCACAGAGTGCGGGAACTCTTCTTGATTTGGTAAGTAACAGGGAAACCATTAAAGAAACATTTCTTTAAATCCCATCATTTCTTTTAAAATGACTTTGCCTTGCAAGCTGTTGATTGGTATTCAAATATTACTATTTGTTCCTAAGGCCATTCCAGGTAAAGATGCAGGCCTTGGGACTCCTAGAGAAAGTTCCATAATCTTGGGAATGCCAGAAAGGAAAGTCCTACCCTCAATGAATATTTTACATTAGATATTTAAACATTTTTAAGTCAAAGAAAAATGTAACTGAATTTCAAAGCGTTTTCCAAATGTGTTATAGCTTTTTCTTTGAATGAGGCTGTTCATTGTTCTGGTTTGAATGAACAATGAGCAACTACAGTGAGAGGAGGCTGTCAACCAAACAGCTAAAATATTTTTAAGGCCCTGGCCGGGTGGCTCAGTTAGTTGGAGCATCATCCCATGCACCTAAAGTCTGTGGGTTCAACCCTTGGTCAGGGCACATACCTAGGTTGGGGGTTTGGCCCCCAGTTGGGGTATGTACAGGAAGCAACAGATCCATGTTTCTCTCTCACATTGATGTTTCTTTCTTTCTCTCTCTAAAATCAATAAATGTACGCTCATGTGAGGATTAAAAAAAGTAACAAAATATTTTTAAGTATTTAAAATATTTTTAACTATTATGAAATATGTTCATGATTTCTCACATATGGTCCCTTGAAAAATTCAGAATCTTTTCATTTAATTTAGTTTGAAAATATAGCAAAAAAAAAATTTGAAAATAACTTGCTTCACTGCCTTTAAATTTTGGGCAATTTTTCCTCAATGTAACAGTTCAGCTAAAATACATAACTTATGATACACTTTGACCAAGGAATAAAGTAACCTCTGATATTTTTTAAAACAATCCTTATACACCAAAACATTGATTTTCTTAAGCTTCTAGATGATTTATGATTAAAAAGTACACTTCACTAGTTAATAATCAAAATAACTTACCTCTGTGAATGGGCTTAATCTGCCTGAGTTGTCTTGAGCACGGAAATATTTTGACACTGGTTCCTGCAAAGTCCCACCAAATCTGGCTCCTTTTTCTGAGCAACGGGTTTTCGAAGTCTGCAAATACTGATGATAAGCACTCTTTACAGAAGAATGGAGTTTAGAGGTAAGGTCAGATTTTTGTAGATAGGAGGCCTTTTCTGGCCATAGACCTATCTGCAGATTGGAGGTAGTTGGTTCATTTATCCTTACAGATGAACCCTTAGAAATTCCAGTCCTTTCCTGGTCATCATCAGGGTAGAAGGTGACTGAAGGATCTGGCAGCTTGATGGTAACGGTTTCCCCCCTTGTAGCTGTCAGACTTCCTTTATGCAATGATTCTTCTTCCTCTTCCCCTAACTCCTGCCTGTCGTCTTCATCAAAATTCATCTTTAAACGCTCTGATACTGACTGGAGAAGTGATAAAACAGAACAGGGCTGGTTGGCACCATCTCTAGATTTTGTGGAACCATGATGCCCAGGCGAGGCCTCGTTGGACAGAATGTCCTCCTGAGAGCTGTCATCCTCATAAATGGGAGACAAAGCTAAAGGATAAACTTTGTACCTTTTGGCCTCCACTGATAAGAACTTTTCTGAACTATCACTATCTATTTTAGCACCCTTTTCAAAATGATGGACCAGGTCAGTTCTACTCTCAGACCTTTCACATGTGAGGACAGGCATGCTGTCGGGGGGTGTGTCAGGAAACAAGAGACTGTGTGCTCTTCTTACTTTGGCAGTAGCATACCTGTCCTCATCTTGAAGGGGTTCTTCATACAATATAGTAAAGGAAGAACTTTCTTGTTCATCCTGCGAAATGAAGGCTAGATTAGAGTCTTCTTTTTCATCACTATAATCACCTAGATCTCTTGTATTGTCATCCACTGTAGTAACATATGTTCTGTTGTCTAGCCTTCCTATGGTATCCACAGGTTCAAAATCTAGCATTGCTAAGGCTGGGTAGCCTTCATAATCCTTACTTAACGTAGGTGACTCATATCCCCTGAAATATGAAGCAAGTCTATTGTCATGTGCTATTAAGCCTTCCTTTACTTCAGAGAGCTCTTCCTCCATTTCTCCAATACTCTCTTCAGCATACTCTTGGGATCCTTTATCAGGTTCAAATATGGGAGGCGTGGCCTCTGCTTGTGTAACGGGCAATTCCAGACCTGCTCCGTATGTTATCCCCACACTTACCCCTGCAGATACCATGGGGTATTTCCTAATAGTCCCATCAGGATCTTCTGGGGATGTTCTCTCCATTTCTATCACAGAGGGCATGGACACAATGGTCCCAATGGTCCCTTCTGCATCCCTTTTGCATGCTTTTTCCATTTCTAAAGAGGCGGGGGCTGCCTTCTTGTGTGCTTTTTTCACTTCCAACCCAAAAGGTGCCATTTCAGTTTTCCTAGTAACTCCATCAGCATCCATTTGGAATGTGTTTTCCATTTCCAGCACAGGCCTCTCAGCCTTCCCAGGGATCCCCTCAGCATCTTCATGGTGGACATTTACCACTTCCAAAACCACGGGCATCACCTCAATGTTGTCCTTATCTCCGTCAGCATCCTTCTGGTAAATATCTTCTATTTCTAGTGTAGGCGGTATCGCTTCAGCCTTTTCAGTAATCTCCTCAACATCTTTTTGGAAGGTAGTTTCCCTTTCTGACAGAACTGGTGTCACCCCGGCCTTGCCAACATCACCTTCAGCATGCTTTTGGTACATATTTTCTATTCCTAATGTAGCAGGTATCACTTCAGTCTTTCCAGCAATTCCCTCAGCATCTTTCTGATAGATGCTTTTCACTTCTGACACGACAGGCATCACATCAGTTTTGCCAATATCTCTTTCAGTGTCCCCCATCTTATGAGCTTTTTCCATCCCTAAACGGGCAGGTAATCCCTCTGTTTTTTCATACCTCTCAGCATCCATTTGGTATACTTCTCGCATTTTAAAACTGTCGGCTGTTGGCTCAGTTTTTGTGCTATTCAACTCTTCATCCCTTTTATGTGCTCCTCCCATCTCTGACATAAGAGGGACTGCCTCATTTTTCATACTAGTCAATTCAGCATCCTTGTGTGTTTTGCCCATTTCTAACATGGAAGGGATAAACTCCATTTTTCCTATATTTACTTCAGTATCCTTTTTGTGTACTTTCCCTACTTCAGACATGGCAAGGGGAGTGCTTTTATTACCGTGTCCCAGCAAGCCTTTTTCAGATAGACACACAAGGCTGTCAGACAAACTGCTTTTGGATGTCCCAGGTCCATGGATGTCATCATCTGTGAATGGAGGCCATGCCAAATTTAATACCAGAGTTCTAGCATCCTCTCTCCCCGTTTTGTGATTATCCACATATTCTATTTCCGTTTTCTCTTTAGAGTCCTCTTTGAGAAGTAAATGTGCTTCTCCTCTATCAGCTAAGCCTTTATGGGGCAAGTCTTCATCTAGTAAAACAGTATCTGAGTCCTGCAAGTTTATAGCATCAGACTGTCCAGCTCCATTTCCAGAAGATGGGGATTTTGGATAAGGGACAACTTCTTTTCCTTTAAATGACTCTGTGTCACTACCTAAGTTGCTTCCAGTGAAGAATCTACCTAATACCTTATTTTCACTAATTTCACATGTGCTTTGATTTACTACCTGTTCTGACACCAAGAACTCCTTTACACGAGGCGTAACACTATCACTGTTCAGAATTTTTGAAGTATTAGTCTGAAGTTCAGAGACCCAGGTATTCTCAGTATCTCCAAAAGCATCATTTGTTATATGTTCTTGGGCTGAATTAATAATCTCATTGACTAATTCCCTAGCTTGATCTTCTAACAAACAAGACACATTCTTTCTATCGGAATCAAAAAGGAGACTCTTCTCACCAGGCGCAGGTGAAACACAGGTCTCTTCTTCCCCTCGGGCTCCTGACAAGTTTTCCAAGTCCTGCTCTTCCAAATGCTCTGTCACTTGGATCCCTGCCAGTGTCACATCTGATGGGTTCTTCTCAGATGTGTCATCTCCTTTCAGGGAACCAGGATTCATTATGCCACTTTTGGCTAAATGCTCCTGGCACAGATCAACTGTGTGTTTGGATTTGAGGTCTTCCCTAACAGAATTAATAACCTCACCAATCAAAGTATCAGCCTTGTTAAGTGAAATACTTTTGATGTCCAAAAATTGGTCACGTGCTCTCTTCCTTGCTGCTACATGCTCAGCAGATGCTTCAGAACACTGCTGGCCTGAGCTGTTAACTGACGCTGAGGCCCCAGCAACTGCTCCAGTCTCTCCTTCCATCGGCCTGTCAAACTGGGCAGCAGTTGGGAAACCAAGAGATACCTCCCTAGTGTAATTATCAGAATGTTCCTGAGATGCGGTCACTTCTGCCCCTGTTGGTATAGATGGTTCAAATCCTAAATAGGAGCTTTCAGGGTGCAGCAGGCTAGTTAAGATGGCACCTTCATGTGTGACATCTGCAGTAACTTCTACAGAACTAAAATTACTTTGGGGATGATGTGACCTTTTAATCATGCTGCCTTCTTCAGCGCTGGAGGAAGACATGCTATCAGTACCACCACTTAGGACATGGGTGTTCTCTTTCTTTCCGTGAGAAGAGGCTTTCTTTGTGGATCTAGGCACAGAGGGAACGTTAAGAAAGCCTGAATCTTCAGATGCAAAACTGTTTTTTTCCAAAGTGATATTAGAACCCAGAAAAGGTGAACTTACTTTTGTGCTGTCAGTTTCTTGGAATTTTGGGCAAGTATTAGTTAAGCTCAATTCTTCCATTTCTGCAAAACCTGAAATCTTTTCAGTCCTACAAATATCTGAAGGTTCATAAATGACACAAGTGTTGGCTTTTTCATCATGAACAGGAGGTAAAATCCCATATGTATTATTTTTTAGAATAAAAGGAGGATGACCTAACACTTCTACCTCTGTTTCCTTTTCACCTTGATATCTGGAGACAGAAGGAGAAACTTCAGCTTGGCAATTCTCTTTAAGCCCAGCATCTGAACACGTCTCTTTAATCTCTTCATGGTCTACCAATTGATAACTTTTGTCCTGTTCAGCCTCGAGAGGGGTTAATTCTGATAAAACAGGCTTTGCCGGCACATCTATAATTTCAAACGGAGGAGAAATTTTGTCCTGAGAAATACCTCTAGGCTCTGTTTGGGAAACAGATATCTTGGAAAGGGCTACAGTTTTTCCTCTTCTAGAATGTGACTCAATAGGAACAGTGTTCTGACCATCAACTTCAGCTTTTGATAAAACTTTAGCAATGTTACTAGTTTTGGTTTCCAAGGAAAGAGAACCAGACTTCTCTGTAGTGCTCTTCTTTGCTTTACTGTTGGAAAGCATTAACTCTTCTCTGTTAAGGCCTGGAGATGAAGTGGAACTGTGGTCCTCAGAGATGCTTTTATACTCAAATCTCGAGTCCCCTCTAGTCAAATGGGTACCACTGGCTTCAAGGTCCAGGGGAACCTGGTATCTTTTCCTGTCGGGAAGAACTTCCTCTGATTCAAGAATCACAGACGCATGCTCACGGTAAAGGCAAGCTGGAGGACTCTTCCTGTCTGCAGACTCAACGTGATTCACTACATTTTCTTCTTGACACTCATTAGGCTCACTGGAAACACCAAAAATATCAACATCCCCACTTTCAATGAGCATGGAAGACCCTTCATTCTTTACAACAGGCGGATCTGACCTGCTCAGTATGCCAACTCCAGAAACAAAGGTAGGAGATGAAGCACTGAAATTTGATTTTTTACAGTCAACGGTAAAACATGTTCTGGTATTAGGTGATACTTTGGCTTGTTGAGGACTCTTAGAGTCAGGGAAAGATTCTGAAACGTGACTTCTATAAAGTCCATAAGTCAGTTCAGGGGTTATTTTGTTTTCTAAGTGTGCTTCAACTGTTGATTCACCGATACACTTTACAGCAGCAGGGTCCTTTTGATTTGTTCTAAGAATGTGAGGCACTTTGCCAGGTGGCCCCAAATCAAGGCTTTTGGTTTCTGTTACAGACACCTGGTCAGTATCTTTGGATAATAACTCAATTTCATCTTCTGGAGCTTTTGCATGGCTTGAGGTTGAGGGTTCACTGACTGAGATACTTCTTGTTTCTTGCCTGATTTCTGTAACAGCCAACTTTTTCTGTGCATCTTGGGCAGACAACCTACTGCCTTCATGCACAAGTTCCGTGTCTGTCGCAGCATGCCTCTGAAGAGCAATGGTGTGCCTGGCACCCTGCTTTGATGAGTTATCTACAGTTTGCTTGTCAGAACACTTGCTCTCTGGAGACTGCAAGTCTTCATGCCTAGTTGATTTATTTGGACTTGGCAAATCTGCACTTTCCTGTTTGGTAGTGTCTCTTCCATCAGATTTACTACAAGAGAAGTCAGAAACAGTAGGGCTCTCGGGCCCAGCACGCTCTGCTCTTTGCACTGGTGTCCCACCACTCATGATGGAGCTGTTTGCTTTTGCTGTAGTCTCTGTAGAAGTTATCCCCTGAAAGTCTGGGCTGTGAGGAACTGTGCTAATGGAACGTCCTGTAAACAATGCTGAACATACCAAGTTCCTGTCAGTCTGAGAAACTGGTACACAACTTAAATGGTGTTCTGAGTCAGATTCTCCGACAGCAAAGCCAGAGTTAGTCACAGAAGAAGGGGATGACCTACTTTCCTCAGGCCCCCCAGGACCATTTTTATTTAAAACATCCTTAGAAAAAGCAATATTCAGCACTTCTGGGTTGTTTGTTGGATGGCTTTCTGTGCTGAGACCTGTTCTGCTATAATCAGAGTCTTCTAATGGGTCTCCCGGCATATGCCCTTGCATAGATAGGTCTGTGCTAGAGGATGACAAAGATGACAGTATCCCAGCCTCAATCTCACTCCCAGGACCAATGTGTGCATTTGTACTAGAGTCGGAACTTTCATTTTCTCTGTCCAAGGGATTCACAGTTTCTAACATGCTCTGTTGCTTCAAATATTTCCTAATTTGTCTGGGACCTTGATACGTTGCATAAGTTACTGAAGGCCTCTCTGGTTTACCATCCGCTTGTCTGCGGGGGGAAAAAAAACAGCATGAGACTGTCAGAAAATATAATTAGAAACACTTAACAGTAAGTAATCCCAGAAACTGTGGTGAAGTATATTTCATAATACGGAAGGCTTTTAACTTTTCTATGTAGAGAAAAACTACAAAACCAGCGACAGTTTTTTCAAATTATAATAAAGCTTTGGTATTAGAAATTCTCATCATGTATATAAATCTGTTGAAAATATAAGAATTAAAATACTTTTTATAGAATTTCAATCCAACAAAGTAGTAGCTTCCTATATAAATTACATTGGAAGCATGAGTTAATATACGGAAAACAATCTTAAAAATGTTACCCAATATATATAAAGGCTTTATGGATATTAAAAATGATATCTGCAGAGTCAACTATACATAAAAACAATTACAAAGCTGTTTATTATTTTAATTACATGAAGATAAAAATCCTTCACAATGCTTCCCCCGCCCCCGGCCACCTTTTTTGATTCTAGAGAGAGGGGAAGAAAGGGAGAAAGAGAGGGGAAAGAAACATCAATTGGCTGCCTCTTGCATGTGCCCTGATGGGGGACCAAACCTGCAACCCAGGCATGTGCCCCGACCAGGAATCTAACCAGCAATCTTTCAAATTGCAGGATGATGCCCAACCAACTGAGCCACAGCGGCCAGGACCATTCACAATGACTTTTGAGGAGGATTTCTTTTAAGCGTACTTCATGGGTTACTTTATTAACTTGTCTAAATTAAACTACTAGCCCTTTTAAATACATCTGTTTATTTTTTTAGAAACTTATAAAGAAAAAAAGGGGCATTTTTACATGAGAAAGACAGTGAAACACCTTCAATTAATTCACTCTTAAAAAAATAACATTTTATACTTGAAATATTCTCATTTCAATAAAAATTAAATATACCCTTGTTTGCAATAAATTCATATCACAGAACCAAAGAAACAATTTTAATACTTAAAATGCAGATTCTCAAAATTATTACTAAATTGCTTTTCCAGACATATTATTTAAATAGTATCTAAAACCAGTTATAAGCAGTCTTTATGTATACTGTCAAAATAAACTAACTTAACCAAAATGGTATTCAACTTTTATATACTTCCTAAACAAATTAAAAATCATTGACAGGAAGTTACTAAAACTGTACTTCAAAACCTGATAACCTGTAGAATTTCTAAAGGGGGGAGCTGGAAGAAGCCTGTTATCTCAGTCAATCTGGGAGTCCAGTGGTCTTTTCCTTTCCTCCTAAGTCAAGATCACTTTTCTTAGCACTGTAAAATGAAAGATCCAAAGACTGTAATAGCTGTCTCAGATGGATGAATTTCTTCCTGTGGAATTTTCCAATATAGTGATCTTGGGTCCCATAGCCAGTGTTTGGCCTTGAAATTGGACTTGGAGGAGTTGGAAACTTCTCACATAGTCTCTACCAGCTATTCCTGTTGTTATTAATTCCTATTATTGTTATAAACTACGTGATTTGGGGGATGTTACTTAGTTTTCTGAGCCTTGTTTCCTTATTAAAAAAATATAGATTAAAACAAACAAAAAGAATCAGCATTCTTTGCTGAGGCAGTTCTGGAGAATTGCCTTAGGCAATTATTCTGTTAACAAGGAGGGCTTTACTAACCAGCATTAAGGGGTACAGTATCCTTTTCCATTTTCCACTGTCCAGTACCAAAGAAATAAACCTGTCAAGGAGGAAATTCTAAGGTGTTCTAGATTAAAATTACTGCACCCAGAGAGTGAAAGAGAAAGAACCGTTAGCTTGTTTATAGCTGTGGACCAGCTCTGGCAAAAGACTGCTATTTCGGTATATCTGTGGGAACCTCAGATTAAATTCTGGGTGGCTATTTCCACACATTATTTTAATCAGGCATCATCAATTTAAGGAACCTCCACCTCTTGCTTACTTGCAGACTGAAGCCTACCGCCAATTCACAGGAGCAGCCTCTGCACGTATCCCAGAGCTGGCCCTGCCATACTTTCTCCCACCCCTTTGCCTACAGCTAATGCAATTTTTTCAGATGGTGTATACATCTTTCTTCCCCCTTCCTGGCACTTGATGTATAAAACTGCTTACAAGCTCGGAGACAATGGTTATGTCTTTCTGATGGGGGAACTCAAGAGTTGGAAAACGTTTAGTTTTAAGATGTAGTTAATAAGTTTAGTAATTAATGCATGTAAAAAGCTACTGTTCCAGGAACTGGGATGTATAACCAGACCTACCCTGACTCTGGGAGACCCACATGCAGTTCCACCTTTGTGCCCCTGGAGGACTGAAAGCAATCAAAATGGAATCTAAACCACTGTGCTGCAGGGAGAGATGTCCCCAGCCCAGGACACAGATAAAGAATCGCTGGTCAACGGATGAGAGGATGTTAGCAAGACTGCTGGACTGCAACTTTTATCTGATTAACCTTTTCCCTGAATTCCAAACCCCTTACCTACACTTTTCTTCTACTTATATAAAAGGTGGGCTTGAGATGAAATGCAAGATGGTCTTTTAGGGTACATAACCCATTGTCTTTTCAGATCGCCGGACGCCTGAATAAAGAGCCCATAAAGATTCAACCCTGTTTCTGCTTATTGGTTCTGGTAGTGACAGGCAGTGCCCACTTTTCTGGTTTCATATTCTGGTGACTCTGCCAGGACAGACTTTGGGACTAACTGGTAAGCCTGGGTATTTGTGGGGAGTCCCTCTGGCTGCCTGGACTGGCAGCCCTCAGTGCAGATCTGGAGACTCCCTGGCAGCTGCCAAGGGATTTCACTTGGGGGCTCTCCTTTAGCTCTCAGCACTCCCTGCTGCCTTCACTTCCTGATTGAATCATGGTGCTTGCTGGTTCAGGGTTACAGTCCCGGATCACCACTTAGATCGGACATCAGGAATTAAGGTGTCTTCTGGTTCGGTTTGTGTGATATTAAAGAGCTCTGTCTGGTAGAATGGGGGGAAGAGCTTTTGTTCCAGGAAAAAGCTGTTGGGGCAGGTTTTGGCTGATTGGTCAACCTATGCTAATAAACCTATGACTAAAAAGAAAAGGATTTTTTTAAATTATAATACTACTTGGTTTACGCATAATCTAGACTCAGGAGAGCACTGGGGACTGAACGGGTCTTTAAATTACTATATCACACTGCAATTAGAGTTGTTTTGTCAAAGATCAGGGAAGTGGGATAAAATGCCTTCTATACCAGCTTTTATAACTTTACATAATAAAGATGCAGGAAATAGATTAATGGTCCAGAGAAAAGGGAATTTGCTGTGGCAGAGAGCAGATGCTCAGAGGAAGATCAGGATGTTAGGCTACAGTGAGCATGGTCAAGATTCCCACAGCTCCTCCAGGTCTGGAGGATGATCTTCCCTACTCAGCTGAGGGAGCTGGAGGTGAGCCTGAACTGGTCTCTCCATCCCGAACCTGTTGGGGAACCAAATTCAGTGGAGGGCAAACCCCTACTGGGGCAGGGCAACACCCTTTGCGAAGACTTCCAGTGAGAGTAGGGCCAGATGGGCCAGCCCATTGGCTATTATTGAGCTCAGACTCAGTTTCCTGCATCAGATCTGTTAAACTAGAAAAGCTCATATTTCTTATAGGGGTGATCCTACTAAAATAACTGACTTAGTTTCATCAGTTTTTGCTACCTACCATCCCAACTGGGCAGACATACAGAACTTACTAGAACTTACTAAACATTTTGCTTATGGGGGATGAGCAGAGGCTGGTATTGTATAAGGCAAATGAAGGGGTTTGGAGACTGTACCAAGAAAATCCAGATGGGCCTCCTGACCCTACCTTTAACCAAGCCCAGCTGGGACCCTCGTGAGAATGGCCTTCCTCTCTTAGAGCACTATAAGAGATGTATCCTTGAGGGACTTAAAAAAGGAACCCCTAAGCAGAAAAGTGTAAATATGGTACAGGTGGTACCAAAATAGCCCCCAGAGGACCTGAGTTTCTTGAATCTATCAGGCCTATAGAAAAACTCATTTGGATCCATAAGTGCCTGAAAATTTTATAACGGTGAATATGACCTTTATCTCTCAAAGTACACCTCGCATCAGAAAGAAACCTCAGAAATTAGAGGGAGGAGTAGGCACGAATCCTTCCCAATTAGTAGACATTGCCTTCAAAGTTTATAATAACAGAGAACAGAAAAAGGCCTAAGTGGCCATTATTTTCTTGGAACAGGCCTCGGGGCAATTCCATAGGAAGGCAAGAGGCTCCTGACCCTTGTCTAAAATGCTTGCCACTGATCAATGTGCATATTGCAAAGGAAAGGGGCACTAGAAAAATGAGTGTCCCAAGCGAAGGAAAAGGAGGTCAGAGTCTGAGAACTTGAGAGTTATTCTGGGAAAAGGAAATTGCTCTGACAATGAGCGACGGGGGCCCGGAGGTTCTCTCATTACAACCTATTAAAGTCACCCCCCCCAGGAGTCTCGGGTAAGACTAACAGTGGGAGGCCAAACTATAGACTTTTTGATTGATATTGGAGCAATATATTCCATGGTTGATAGACCTCTGAGTCCCCGTGGCAGGCTATAACTGTAACTGGAATTTCTGGAAGCCCTGAAAGCCAATTTTTCTTGAAACCATTAGAATGTGCTGTGGGAGATACAATTTTAACTCATAAATTTTTATATATTCCTGAGTGTCCAATTCCTCTCCTAGAAAGGGATTTGATGTCAAAATTCTGCACTCAGATCACTTTTTCTCCAGGGGAACAACAGCTCTGGAGCATGTTTGGCAGCTCCTCACGAAACTGTGGAAGAGGAAAAATGACCCTGGCCAGAAGAAATTGAGAATCAAGTAAACTCCACTGTGCGGGCTGCTGGAAAGCCAGGGAGGGCTAAGTGAGCCTCCCCTGTTAAAGCCGACCTCAAACCAGGAACACGGACTCCCAATAAGAGGCAGTATCCTTTGAGGAAAGAGGTCCTAGAAGGAATACACCCAATAATTCAGAAGTTTTAGGAATACAGTTTTACTCAGCCCTACCACTCTCC